GCCGGTATGCAAAGTGGGCCCTGGAACTGGAAGGCTGAAAAACTGAGTTTTGATCTTGGAAAGCAAAGCCGTAAAAACACCACTTGGGTTCTTCTGTTGTTGTGCCTGTTGAAGCCAGTTCACTTCCTTCCATCTTGGAAAGAGTTGGACTTTGCCAACATGAAGATCTGGAGATCTTCTGATTTCAGAGAGGGTCTCTCGTCTTTTGCTCTCCTGCAGCTCAAAGGGCTGCTGAACCTTTTCCCAGAAGGAAATGCTACTTTCACCCCCAACCATCTGTCCTGTCCAAGGTGCTAGGAGCGCTTGATGCGGTTGGCCTGCTCCGGTTCAATCAGGATGTGTTCCTTAAATTGGGCTTTCAAGGAGGAGCGAAGAGACAAGGCTAGCAGCTGAGGCGGTAGAAGATGAACTGGGGGGGGGGAGAAACCCCCATAAAGATACAGCAGCTTCGGTATCAGGACTTTTTTCGTCAGGATTCCTTTAGTATTATTATTAAGAGGATGCTGGGAAAGCCGAGAGAGCAAAGAGGCCTTCTTTCTATTGGAGGGATGGAAGCTCAGGGTCTTCGGATGATCCACATTGCAGAGGGGGCTTCTTCACCTCCTGCTGAGTGAGCTGCAGCCCCATTTGCTGGGGGCGATTTATGGCAGGTTACTTTATTTATTTGTTAGTCAGTTAGTTAGTTGTTTTTAAATTAGTAGTAGGTTACACTGGAGCGCTCCAAAAAGTTACTTGCACACTGGAGAATGACACTTGGTGCTCCACCTGAGCCACCGTCAGGCAAGAAAGGGGAAGCAGAGGGGGAGAGCTAGTGGAAAGGAAGAATCGTGGGCCTTCAATAAAAACAGGGTGCTTTTACCTGCATTGTGACATCATTGCACAAAGGACATCACTTTCCCCCTTCCCTGCCCCTCCCCAAGCTGTAGAATGTTAACTTCCTATTGGGGAAGGGGAGAAAGAAGAAGGGGAGGGGTGGATGTTGGCTTAGAGCAAGCAGCGTTTTTCAGTCTTGGCAATGTTAGAATCCCCCAGCCAGCATGATTTAAGATGTGTGAACTTTTAATCCCAGAATTCCTCAGCCAGGATCTTGGCTGGGGAATTCTGGGAGTGGAAGTCCAGACATCTTGTAGTTGCTAAGGTTGAAAAAATGCAGACTAGAACTGGGGGGGGGGGGGGGCTGACTCCTCCAGAACTCCTCCAGGCTGCAATGGATTGGCTAACCCCAAAGACTGGTTTTAACCCTTCTTGCTGCTCTTACCTGTTTTGCGCAAGTTAAAGGAATAGCTGTAAACAGAGGATGAAATCTCTCCCTGTGGTCCAATCCAAAGAGATTAAAACAGGTTAACCTGCGAAATGCCCTTGAAGGAACGTCCCAATTACTTAATGCATCGTTTTTTTTAATTTTCTCCTCCCGCTTCAGGCTGCGCCTGGCTTTCTCCATGCATACTTATACTTTTTCCTGCGATGGATTAACAAATGGAGTAGATTGCATTAATTTCTTTTGCACAATTGAAATCAGCAAGGCCCAAAGAAGGTCATTGAAACAGATTGCAGTTACAGGAAAGCAGATTCCAGATATCGAAGCAGTAAATGACAGAGGAAGTTCTCCTGGAACCATCTTGTGACATCACAGCCATTGCAAAAAATGTTTTGCTTTTGTTTAACTCATTTCCTTCCTTTTGACCATAAAGGGTGTTGCAGCATACCCTGCTCAAGGAAAAACTGAGTAATATTTTTAACTGATGCAAAGCATTGGGCTGTTTCTCACACTTTCCCAAGGAATTCAGCAACCAAGCCTTGGTGGAGGCTTCTAAAAACCTATTGGGACATACTGTATATTTACCATTGTGGAATAGTTAATCAACCTATAGGCTCCACTTCTAAATACATTTTTTATTTATAGCTCTGGGTCTAAACCAACTTGATTACCTGAGCAGAAAGGCAGCACACTTACACAATTGCAGAGTGCATTATCTTTTTATCTCTGGGTTTAATTGGATGACAGATAACCTTCAAGGTTTGACCTGTCAGATTGACCCATTTAATATTTGGGGGTAGGCAGCAGGACCGGCTTGTTGTCTTGGAGCTTGCAACCAGTGATTAAAACAGCCCTTCCGGCTTTATGCTGAAAATTCCACAGCTTTTAAGGTGGCCTCACACAAGGGAGGAAGTGGGTGGCCCGACCACCAGCTGTGGCAGAAACAAGCTCCCTCAGCATTTGCCACCTCTGGAGGGCCACGTCTTTCTTTCCAGATAGCATCCCTTTTCTACCTCCGCGTTAAAGCTAAGCAAGTGCGGCCTTGCTTTGTTCCTCATGGCGCAGAGGCTTCCTTGAGTCAGAGAATCCCCGAGCAGAAGGGACCCCCGCGGCCTTTGGGGCATCCGTGGCCATTACCTGTGCAGACTGCAATCCCCATTAAAGCACCCTGAAGAGACGGTAGCTGACAATCTCACCGTCTTTAACCACTGAGCCATTGTGCCCCCTAATAATATAAATACCAATACTATAAAAATCAACCTAGCTAAAAAGTTGGAGGGAGAGGGGGATCTGTTGTTAATCTATCAATCACCTCCAAAGTGATGCCCCCCGTTGAAGCCCCAGGCCAACTGCCAGAGCCAGCTCTTTAAGCTCTTGCAGAAGGTCAGGAAAGTGGGAGCCGACCTCACTCTGGGGGGCAGAGAAGACCCTGACAGTCGTAACTCCCTGGCCAATGGGGCTCGCACTGCTGGCGCATGTGGGACTGGCCAATCCCACCGGGGTGAGACGGTCCCTCAATTAGCTTGGACCCAGGCCATGGAGGGCTTTAAAGGTGATTGCCAACACCTTAAACCACACCAGCAGCCGGGGCAGCTCGTGGAGCAGTGGTGTTACAGGGTCCACTCTTGGGACCCCAAGAACTGCCTGCCCTGCCACACTCTGCACCAGCTGTAGCTTCCGAACGCTCTTCAAGGGTGGCCCCATGTAGAGCACCAGTTCAGCCGAGATGACCAGGGTCCTGACTGAAGAAAGGCCACAACTGGCGCACAGCCTGAAGTTGCGCAAAGGTTTTTCTTAGCCGTGAATTAAACCTTCCGTCAACATGACTTCACATCTCTTAGAAAGACCTGGAATTTTATTTTGGAAAGCAATAGTCACCTTGTTTCTCTACCATGGCTGGATGCGGGGGAAGAAACATCTCCTAATCTGGCAGGCAATCCAAATTTCAGAAATTCACGGTCCCCTTTTTGCATTTGTCAGGTTACCTCAACAGTGCAAACATTGGGCAGTGTCCCTTATGCCAGGCAAGCCTCCCCTTTACAGGGCCCGAGATAAGCATTCTGGAGCCTTTTCCCATTTTTTCAGAATGTCAGGGAATGGGAGAGAGCCGAGTTGGCACTATTTTTCCCTTCATTCCCTCAGATCCTCCCTCTGCCCTCCCGCCCACCCTGGCCATCCTTTCCTGGCTTCGGCCCCACAAGGAGCTGGAGGCAGCCGCTGCAACTCAGCTTGAAAAGGTGGCTTAGAGCACCACTTGCTGGGCAGCTGAGCAGAGGAGGGAAAACGGGAGGCCGCTGCTGCTGCTCCCCTCCTCTGGAGGAAGCGGGAACTGAGAGACCCAGCAAGCAGAGAGCCAGTTTCAGGGGAAAGAGATCCGTGGGTCTGTTTGTGCCTTATATTGAAAATGTTCCATTAAGACTTTTCAAAACACTTGCTCACAGCTGAACTCCGTCTTCATCTTAGCTTATATTTATTTTAATTTCTACTTTGTCCCATCCTGGATGGGCATGAATATACTTGTATATAGTTGTTAGCATAAGCAACAAAAAAGGCACATATGGATCTTGGTTAAAAGATCCTGGAAGTTGCGTGTGGCTTTTGATCCCCTGTGCCGCCCTTTCAGCAGAGATCAGTGACTGCAAGGAACTGGGCTTCTCCCTCCCAGTTGGGAATCCATGAAAGGCAGAACCAGCTTTCCCCATTGATTCTAAGCAAACTGAAGCAATTTCATTCGCCCAGAGCAAACGTGCATCTCCACAGCAAGCTAGAAAGTTAGGGAAAGCAGCTGCAGGCACCACCAATGAAATATCTGGACTGCAGCAAAGTTGGAAGAAAGTCAGAAGCTCCTCATCCATGTGATGGAGAAGTCTACCCCAGCTAGACGCTTCTCACTGCAGCCTCTCCAGACAGAAGCCAGGAAGGTTCCTGCCAACGGCTCTTTGTCTTGAGTTCTGGATGTCCCGATAGAAAAACGGCACTGGGCATCTCCGACCTCCTGCAGCCCTTCCTGCCTGTCATGGCCCCATCGGAGCCCGGTTCAGAGGAGGAGGAGTTGTTACGAGGACTGTCTGATGGGCATGGCACGTCTCCCTTGGTGTGTTTGGAGAGGCCAGGGGGCGAGGACGATGCTCAGGCATTGGGGGAGGTGGTCTACCAGACGGAGAGCTGCCTGCCCTCACAGACCCAGGGGAGAATCGGCTGCGGAGAGGCAGTGGAGCCCTTCTGATGAGGAACAGCTGCCTCCCCCAGTCCATCCAAGGCACGGAGAGCGGAGCGTAGGCAAGCCCAGAGAAGGGCTGCACGGCTCCTGGGGAGAAGGTCGCCTCCTCCTGCTCACAAGGACCACCTGGAGTGGATTGACTCAAGGAGAAGCTGTGGGGAGTTAGTCCCTGCCAGGAACAGCTGTCTGTTTTGGCTTACACTCGCCCGGCTTTGACTCGTGCCTTGTGCCTTGCCTTGGTCCTGTGGGCTAGTTTGCCTCAGGGAGCCGCCTAGCCAGGTGGGCTGGGCTTGGGGCCCTGGGCCTTGCCCTGTGAGCATGCTCCTACCCAGCGGACGCTCTCTGTTGTATGGGGGCTGTCGTTTGAGGGGCTGAGGGTGGTGGCCTCCAAGGTAGCGTGGGGTGGAGCCTTACCGGTCGTTGGAGAAGGTAAACATACTCGTGGCATCACCTGTTGAACTTCTAGCAGCTGCCAAGGGAACGGATTCACTTTCTTTTATATGCAGGACTAATCTCGCAACATTGCCATGGCCTTAATTTAATTTATTTTTAAAATATACTGTAAAATATGCCAGTAAAGAGATTGTAGCATCCAGCCCCCCACCCTTTGGGCTGCTGGGATGACAGCCGCCTCTGGGAGGAAGGCAGTGCAGAAGACAGCGGAAGCGCTCTGGGTTTGTTGGAGCCGCCAGCCGGCCTGGGCATTCGGGGAGGGCCAATTCCACTATGTGGCACGGCTGGGAGGTGGGAGTTTGCAAGAGAAGCTCCTTGAGGACAGAACGTGGGTGGGTGGGTGGCACAGTCACACGAAACGGCAGCTCTTCCGGTCAGTGGCCGGTAGGGAGCAGGAAAGGCCGGCCAGCCTGTGAGGCTGCACATGCAGAGAGGAGCTCAAGGGAAGGTGATGATCTCCAGGGAAGGACGCTGCTCCTGGTAGTCGGCTGGGTGGCCGTTCCTGTAGTGGCCGTACTCAAATTTGATCCTCAGTTCGCCAATTTTGGACTGGGGGAGGATGTCTGGGATCCACTCAATGATGAAAGGCGTCGGTTCCTTTTGATCCGGGGAAGTGTTGCCTGAGAGGAGGAAAATGAGAGGAGCCACTTCCCAGGTCACACAAGGGGAAGTCAGCTCTGTGCACACTTACCAACTTTCAAGAAAGTTTTCAGTTCCAGGGGGCGAAGGACAGGCTGCTTCTCCAGGCGTCCGTAGGTCTCGGCAATGCTCTCCACCTCCACTTTGGGGCACTTGAAAGGCTCATAGGTCCCATCCCGGTTCTGGATGAAGCTGCGCGTTATTTCTAGAGGCATCTGGAAAGAGAGGAGATGAGCAGAAATCCCCAAAGAGCCTCTCCCCGTCTCACTGCGGAAGGAAGCGATTGTTCTGGAAGATGAACAGAGCAAATCTGGAAAGTTTGAAGCAAGTAAGAAAATGAGGCTTTTAAATCTCCTGGTCTAAAGCAACTGGAGGTGGCTGGAGAGACTTCCGTCCATTGCTCTTCCCTCAACAAACATGCCAGATTCCCCTTCCTCTGCTCGGAAACAGAGAGCTTGCAAACCAGGAGGCGGAAGGGGAAGCAGGACTCACCTCAACGGTGTCAAAGATCTGCTTGACCTGCAAGATGTTGGTGATGTGCCAGGTATACTTAGAAAAGGTACCCAGCGGTAAGGCATCTTTGCGGACAAAAGCTGGAAACAAAACATTGATCGGTGAGGTATAATCATATATATGTTTCTGGGCATTTGTGCTAGTAAGATTAAAAACACAATAACAACAATAATACATATCAAATAAAAGCAGGTCAAAGGCATACGAAACAGCCCAAATAAAAACACCCGTCTAGTCATCATAAAAGTTGCGCCCAAATCAGACAAGACCTACCAAGCAAAACGGACCACTCTTTTGCCAAAAAAAAAAAAAGGGGGGGGGGAAGGAAAGAGGGTGCCAAGCGTATGTGTGGAAGGAAGGTGTTGCAATAGGTAGCCTTCCCACCCCCTTTCCTTTGGCAAAAGGCTGCCTCTGGCATGAGGGGGACACTCCAGCATCCCTTTCTGTCCTGCTCATGTTGGCCAGTCAGGATCCTAAGGAGGGAAGGAGATCCTGAAGCTGAGACGTCCAGGAGAATGTCGGTCAGAAGCAGCAGCAGCCGCAGCAGCCAAGATTAGCTCTGCTTGTACCTTCGTACGATAGGAAGTAAGGCGGGGGGAGGCCTTGGAAGAGAGCCCCCACACCCTGCCATCTGCAGCCAAGGCCTGGGCCCTTTCAGCAACCATTGGCCCCTGGGACTTTCTTCTCGCCAGCCAAGTAGGCCAAAGCAGCCTCTTCCGTCAGCCCCAAGCAGTGGCCAGCCAACACACAACTGTCTTAAAACCAGCCATGGGGGGGGGGGGGGACAAAGGTTCAAACGAGCGCCATCACCTGTGGCATACGGTCCCCAGAGCTCTTGGGGCTGCCCGGAAGAGACAGCTCCACTGAGGGTGCCCATCAGCTGCAAGCCCAGCACCCGGGCTCTGTGTCGGTCAAGCAAGGAAGGCAGCGCCCCACCGGTTCCATGGGCTGAGCCAATCGCAGCCTCGCCTTGGCAGGAGGCTCCCTGCCCAGCGGTTGGGCTCAGGGAGAGGCAGAGGCTTCCATTGCTTCAATCCCACCAGCCGCAAAGCAGAGCGGCGGCCATAGGCAGAGAGCTTTGGCTGGCTGAGTCTGTGTCCAGCCCCAGGAGGGGTATGTGTGTGTGTGGGGGGGGGTGTCCTGAGCCATGGGGCCGGGGCCCAGGAGAAGGGGAGAACGCCCTGAAGACCAGCACCTGTCGTCGAGTTGGGAAGTCGCATCTTGACGCTCCCGAGGCCGATCCGCTGCTGGAGGGCCTCGAAGAAGGCCTGCGGGATGTGGAAGACGAGGGGCTCCGGCTTGCCTGAGGGAAACACGCAAACACAGGAGGAGCCTCTGGCGACTGAGGGCATCTCAGAAACCGGGGCTGGAAAGTCTCAGGATTCAGACAGGACAGAAACAGAAAGAGCAGCAACAAAGAGCGGAGGACTCTGGGATGAAGGCCGGGGGGGTGGGGTGGGGGCTCTGCTGAAAGCTTGTGTGTTTTGAAAGAGCCCTGGTGACCAACAGGGTAAACAGACCACAAAGCGGTCAGAGAAGAGGGGGCTGAGAAAATGTCTCACGGGGATGAAGAGAGGGAGGGAGACTTGCAAGTTTCTTCCATTACAGCTTTATAGTAGTACTGATCCACATGGCAGAGATTTCCCAGTCTGGTCTACCTGGAGGGGCCAACAAAACCTTCCAGAACTTTTGGAACTCCCCAAATCTCTAGGCCCAAAGCACCAGTGGGCCACCAGCCTGGGAAAGGCAGTGCAAGAACCTTCTCCACCGAGAAGAGGCCGAGACGCCCCAGGCCTGACTGCCACCATCCTTCCTGCTCCTGGGAAACAAGGGGCAGCCGCCCTGAGCCTCCCACCCGCCCCTGTCTGGGGAAAGGTCCCCTCTGACCTGAAGGGGAAAGAAAAGCCAACGCAGGAAAGAGGGCAGCGGGCAAAAGGGCAGAGCCGAAACCCTGGGCCACGGCGCAATTCTTCCCCTCCTTGGCTTTAAAGGTTTACGCTGCAGGGTGTAGGCGGTGTAGGCGGTGAGCAGGCAAAGGGGTGCAAATGGGGTGGGGCTCACTGCCCTGAGCCAGGGAGACCCCAAAGTGCCCTTCAGTCGCCAGGAATTGCCTTTGAGTCGGGAGCTTTTCTTAAGATTCCCACCCACGCTCTCCCACTAAGCCATGGGCACCTCAGGAAATTTATTTAATGAACTTATTGAAAATGTTTATATAGCCGCCCATCTTGAATCAAACTGAGACGCTCACACATCCCTCTACAATTAAATGGTTAAAACCCCAAGACCTGGCACCAAAGCTCAAGCTCCCCATGGGCCCCCTGGGGAGGGGGGGGGAGGTTCAAAGGGCAGGCCCTGCTTTCCCTCTGGTCCGACTGAGGCCGGGAGAGGCAGGTGGGACTGGCAGGAAGGACTCACCGTCAAACTGGTAGTGCATGGCTTGGTGGACCCTCTCCGTGACGCTGGCCAGCCACTCCAGGAAGGACAAGGCCACCTGCGACTCCTCCAGCACCTGAGTGCCAGCTAAGCAAAAGGAAGGCAAGAACAGCTGCAAGTCTCGCTCCCTCCCCCTCCCGGCCCCCCAGGCGGCATCCTGGGGCAAAGAAACAGCCACTTGCAAGGGAGGGCAGAAAGGCCCCCCCCAAAAAAAACATTGTGCAGACAGGCTCTAAGAACAGGCTTAACTCTGTCTTCTGTCCTTTGCCATGGACATTTTAAAGCGAAATGAAGCTGACGTTTCTTCCCGGTTCATGTTTAAGTTCACAACTGACAGTCTCCCTTGTCTCAGCCAAGCGAAGGGCCCTGAACGGCCTTCCAAGTAGCCATGCCTAAGCCTGGGGGTGGGGGGGAGGCTTGTCGGGGGGGGGCCTCTGCGGCCTTGTGGTCTGGATGGGAATGGACTCACTTTGCCTTTTCAGTGATGCAACGGCCGCCTTCTTCAGCCCATTTTTCTGCAAGGAGTTGTTTGCCAGATCTTGGGACAAGAGGGGGCTGCTGGCTTGCAAGCCTAAAAGCCCAAATTGAACACCATCAGAAGGCGCGTTTTGACTTCTCCCAGCCTCTTTCCGAGTGTGGAACCCGGAGCCACCCAGAACACGAGGCAACGCTGGAGCTCCTCACCCAGCCCTTCGTCCTTCTTCTTGCGCTTCGCTTTGGAGGCCGCAGGGTCTCCCGAGGGCAGAGGGGAGTCCGGCTGGCAAGCAGGCGGAGCTCTTGCCGGGGACTTCAAACCTGCAGTTGGGAAAGGAAAACGGCTGCCCAGAAGCCTCCCCGTTTCTCGGAAGAGCCCGGCAACCAGCTGCAGCACGACAGCCAGGGAGCGCCTGTGTGCCAGCAACCTTTGACCCAGCTGCCCACCACGTCTCTTGCCCGTTAGCAGTGCTGAAGCTCAGGAGGCTGAAGGGGGCTGGAAGGTCTCCCCCCCCCCCAGGGGCCGTCCAGTCCTCCGTGCATACCTACCACCAGACTCATCGTTGAGGAAATCCACAAACTCCTGGGCTAAAGCCTCGTCGCTGGCGAAGGCACAGAGGCAGGCGAAGAAATGGATGCACTTCTGGCTGCCCTCCTCGGCGGCAGGGCCGGCCTTGCTGGCCCTCAAGGACTGGCAGGGGCAGAAGAAGCGGGGCCCCGCCGGGTGCTTGTGGGCAGACCTGGGAGCAAAGGTGATGTGGAGGTAGCCCAAGCTGTGCTTCGGGCCGGCCTTGCCCTTGACCACCAGCACGTTCTTGGTGACCCTTTGGACCAGGGGCCCCGTGGGCTGGGTGGCCAGCTCCCAGAGGGCCTGCTTGGTCTGGGCCGAGGCCTGCATGGCGTTCAAGACGGAGCTCTTCAGGGTCAAGGGGGTGGCCTCTGCCTGGCAGCCCACGGCAAGCTTCAGGTGCTGGCACTGGTTCTCCACCACCCCTTGGGTGGCTGCCTTCAGACACGCCGGGAGGTAGCAGCGCCCAGAGCTGAGCTGGGTGAGGATGGTCCCATCCGCAGTCTGGACGGTGGTCTCCGAGACGCCCAGCTCCACGAAGCACCGATACTCAGGGCCCCTGTCCCTCTGCCGCACCGAGTAGACCTGGAGGTCTGAGCCGGTGATGATCTTGACAGCATCAACGCCAGCTGGCTTCCGTGAGCCGTAGCGGAAGACGGTGCCACAGGTCTTGTTCTTGCAGCTCAGCCCACGAGTGCCATTGTAGGTGCCGCATCGGGGGCATTTCCTGATGCCTCTCAAGGTTGCCTTGCCCAGGTCTGATAAGAACGCCGGGACTTTGCTCCTCAGGGACCCGGATTCCATCCTTCAGGGAACCTGGGCCAAGGAGGAGCGGGAAAGGTCGATTCAGTAGAAAGCCCCTGCCTGAAGGTCATTGGGGGGTGGGGGTGGGGGTCCCGCCTGGGATGGTTTTAAACTGTTTTCATGGGAACATTTACCATCTCTGATTCTTGTCTGAGAAAAGCACCAGAAATGGACTGGAGAAATTAGTGAAATGCTGTGGACGTAGTATACTTAGATCTCAATAAAACATGTTAATAAACTTACTTCTTGGCAAGCTAGAAAAATGTGGGATAAACAGCACTACCACTAGACAAATCATATTCAACATGTAGCCCTTAATGGAACCACATCCACAATTCCATATGGAGGGAAGTGTGTTTACTGTTTTACTGTTTACTGTTTCTGTTTTAGCCCAAATTCTTTTCATTCTCTTCATAAACGGATCTAAATGAAGGACTTGAAGGGCAACTCATCAAATTTGCAGACAACACTAAACTGGCAGGAGTAGCCAACACTCCACAAGACCAGTTCAAGATCCAAAAAGATCTTGACAGACTTGAACACTGGGCCCTATTTAACAAAATGAAATTCAACATAGATAAAACTAAGGTTTTACACTTAGGCAAGAAAAACCAACTGTATAGGTGCAGACTAGGTGAAACCTGGCTTAAAACAAGTAATTGTGAGAGGAATCTTAAGAGTTCTAGTGGACAGTTACTTAAATAGAAGCCAACAGTCTATGGCAGCAGCCAAAAAAGCCAATGCAGTCCTAGGCTGCATTAATAAAGGGACAGAATCAAGATCATGTGAAAATGCTAGTACTGCTTTACAAAGCCTTAGTAAGATCACACTTGGAATAAAGCATCCAGCAAAGAAGAGAAACATGAATGATTAGGGGGCTGGAAGCTAAAACATACAAAGGAAGATTGCAGGAATTGAGTATGTCTATTCTAGTGATAAGAAGGAGTAGAGGTGACAGGATAAGTGTTCCAAGATTTGAGGGGCTCCTACAAAGACGTCAAACTATTTTCCAAAACACCAGAAGGTAAGACAAGAAACAATGGATGGAAACTAACCACAGGGAGAAGCAATCTAGAATAAGGAGAAATTTCCTAATGGTGAAAACAATCGGTGGAACAGCTTGTCTCCAGAAGTTCCGGGTGCTTCATCACTGGATGCTTTTAAGAAGGGACTGGACAGCCACTTGTAGGGAATGGTATATGGTTTCCTGCTTGTGCAGGGGGTCGGACTAGAAGACCTCCAAGGCCCCTTCCAATTCTACTGTTCTTTGATTTTATGAAATGCAGAGGGCAATCCTGGTGCCAAAGGTGAGATATCTAAGGAGGACGGTAAGCCAATTTTTAAAAAAGCACATCCAACTGGGGAATTATCGTAAAGATAGTGACAGAACAGAGCTTATTTTAAGAGAGACCTTTTCCGCTACTTCAGTTTACCATGGTTTGCATAGGAGAATTTCCTAGAGAGATTATAACCCATCAGCCAGATCTAATTGCCACACTCAGACATCTGATCTGCCCTTCTTCAGTGGAAGAACAGAAAGGCTGCCTCCGAGATTCAAAGCAACCTCCTGGACTCACCCCCCATTTGCTGCCGAGACTGGGTTTTCTGGCACCATGAGCTGAGCTAAGCACACAGGGGAGAGCTGGTTTACAAAACCGGCCCCAGCAGACTCAGCTCAGCCTGCTTCCATCCATCTTGTCAGCGGAAGAAGAACAAAACTAGGGAGGTCATAAAAAAAAGTCCTGGGCAAATCTGATCACCTCCTTAGTGGGCCATCTCCTAAAATGGAGAGGAGGAGATGTTTTCAGTTATTTTCCAGAGGAGCTGAGCTGAGCTGCAGGAAAAGAAACCCAATACCTAAAAAGCAACAAAGAGAAGCTGAAAACATACCCCTCCCCCCTTCCCCATCATCTGATGGCCCACCATTGCCAGGAGACTGTGTGGTTCACTGAGGGGCTCAGCACTGAGCAGAGAGCCTGTGGGCAGCCGCTCTGAGCCGCTCCCAGCCCTGCAGGGGACGGGAAAGGGCGGAATGCCGTGAATCCTCCTCAGGATTCTGGTGGTGTCACAATGAAGCCTCAGGCAGGTCGCGGGTGGGGAGGGGTCCCTCCACCTGCCCTGGTTCTCAAACCAGCAGGATCCCCTCCCTGCCACTGGAAGGAGGAGAAGACGAGGAAGCCGCTTCTCCTTTCGAGCAGCTCTGAAGAGGATTCAGGGCCAAAGGCTGAGCAGAGGCTTTTGTCAAGGGGGGATCAAAACTAGTTTTGGTGCAAGATTAGGGCGATCTAGTGGTGCGTGTGTCTGATTCCCATGCTGCAGGAAGCTGCAAGTGTGAAACGGTGGGCGCAGCAATGGCATCAAGCAGTTGGGAGTGGGCAGAATGAACCCCTTCAGCCTCTGTAGGGCATTTTTAAGGGCAAAATGAGGGTTTTGACTCCTTGAGTGAAAGGATTCCTTGTTGCCCACCGAAGCCTTGTGGAGCAGCCAAATCAGCAGAAAGTTTGGTGCCAGAGGTGGTCACAGTGTGTGTGTGTGTGTGTGTGACAGAGTCACAATGAAGGCCATGTCAGCGTGAGCCTTTGTACATGCAACCTACCTGCAAGATGCCCATAAAATAGTGATGAGGCTTCGATCACCATGGACAACTAAAAGGACCCTGGGGGTGTAGGAAGCCTGTGGGGAATGGAGGGCACGAATTGGCCACAGGCACAAAGCACTGAGCTCTCCTTGCTTTGGCTTTAGACGGTCCCAAGTGCAGGAAAGCCTCCTTTAAGGTCGAATTGGGACACGGGTTGCCAGCTGTTCCCAAGAGCATCGGCTGCTGCGTAAGGGCTGGCCGAGGGGAGGCCCAGATGGAAAAGTGGTTTACTGCAGCCAAAGTCTGAGGAATCGAGGCTTTCCCGGAAGCCCTTTCCTTTCCTTCTTTCATCCTTTCCTTTCCTTTCCTTCCCTTCTTTCCTTTCCTTCTTTCATCCTTTCCTTTGTTTTCCTTTTTTCCTTTCCTTTCCCTTCCCTTTCCTTCCCAAAGAGGCTCTGCAGGGAGGCGCTTAGACTACAGAACGAAGGAGCTGGAAGGGCCCTTGGAGGTCTTCTAGTCCAGCCCCCTGCTCAAGCAGGAGAACAGTCCTATATATATATCATAGTCTTCTTTTTGAGGAGGGGAAAGCAGCCTCTTCCCTTCCCCGGCCCAGGCAGCCCCATGGGGAACTACGATGCCCGGCTCTCTCGGGGGCGGAAGGGAGGCCTGAGCGGAGTTTTCCAGAGGAGATCGGGCGGCCCTTCGACTGCAACCCCCGTGGCCTCCTGCCTGGGGCAGAGGGTTGGACTAGAGGACCTCCGGGGTCCCTGCGGTTTCTGTGCTCCATGAAATTCAGCGCCTGAGCGGGACCTGAGCGGGGGGGGGGGGGGGGGGGGAGACCCCCACCCCCCCCCGCCCCACGCCCCCCCCCGGCCGGCCTTCACCCCCCACCATCCCAGCGCCAGCGTGGCCACGGAAGCTTCTCCCGGCCGAGCGGCCTCCTTCGCGCTGGGCGAGAAGGGCCTGAGCAAGCCGGAACGCTTCCCGGGAGCCGCGCTTCGTGTCCGGGCCGGCCGCGCGTTCCTGGTGGGTCTCAAACTGGCTGTTATAAAGTGAGTGGACTTCAACCCCCAGAATGCCCTGGTCAGCGTCGCCCCTGCTGGGAATTCTGGGAGGTGCAGTCCACAAACACCCGGAAGCTGCTCCGACTGCCTGACGTCACGCGCTACCGCCGCTCGCTCTCCCCGTCGCCCTGGCAACCGGGGACCGCCAGGCCGCGCGTCGTCATTTCCTGCCCTCCCCCCCCCCCCCCCCCCGCGGGTCCCTCTGCGTCGCCTTTACCTGGCGGCCCCCCTCCCCACTTCCCGGCCCGGCGGCCGGCGAGGAAAGGCGGCGAGCGGCCTCCGCGATGGCTTCTTACAAATGGCTCGCGAAATCCTTCTGTAACGAAGGTTCTCATTGGCCGGGGCGGGCGGCGCGAAGCACCACGGGAGACCGAGTCCGTGCCCCGCTGGTCCGGAAGAGGCACGTGGCGCTCCGCAGCCGCCTCTGGCCCGCGGGAACTGGGCGCAGCCGCGGAGGAGCCGCGCTCTCCACGCTCAGCGGGGCCGTAGGGGGCTTCCCCCCCCCTCCGCTGGCTCCGGCCTCGGAACAGCGTCCGGCCCCGATCTCTGGGGGAGTCCGATGAAAGCCTCCGAAGGCCCCGCGGCGAACAGCGACGCCATTCCGCTGCCAGCCTCTTTCCCCCACAGCCAGCTTGGAGTAGCTAAAAACAAGAACCATTTAAAATATACAATGGCAAATGCGAGCTCACATCTTTTATTAACATCTGAATGGCTTTCCAAAGTCAGGGCTTCTGGAGTGAAGTTCTTCGACTTCTGTACACAAGTATCAAAAAACACATTCGCTTAAATGAAGCTTCCAAAGTTCATACAGAAATAAAAAAACCCGGGCTGCTACTTGGAAAAAAACACCACCCCCAGGCAGCACTTTCTCCAGCTGCCTGAAGACCTTGAATCTCCTTGCACATCAGAGTAAGAAAGCTGAGGATGCCTGGATGAGAAGCTGGGGGAAAGGGGGCAGCACTAGAAGGAAGGGCCCCGTCCTTTTCCCTTAGCCTGGTCCCACAGCCTGGTTGGGCGCTTAAAAAGCTTCCACTAAGGGGACACAAAACTGGCTCTGGTTCAGAGGCTCAGGGGGGAAGGGTCTCCTCCGAGGAAACCGCCAGGACAATCCACTGCTTTCGGAGTATTGTCAGACTGAAGCGGTGATCGACTTTTTAAAAATACTGAAAATCTTTTTTTTCTTTTCTTTTTGCCTTACCCTTTCAAATATTTACATATTGTTGAAATGCATTAAAGCTTAAGTTGCTGTCAACTTAAGGGACAATGCTCCAGGGACAACAACAAATATTCTCAAGACGTTGAAAGCTTTCTTGGTTTGCTGGCTGAGGGATCTTAGCTGGCTTCTGTGAAATAAATCTGTACTCGGTTCTGCTGTTGAAAATATATACAAAGAAAACTCCCCAAATGGTACCAGGCTCACCTCAGACCTATTCACATTTCTCTTTTAAAAGAATTGTGCAGGCAGAGATAGAAAGCAGAAAGAAGACAGGTTTATACAAATTTTAAAGGAAGCAGACATGAGTGAAATTAATGTACAATGGCATCTTTTGGGGATGCTTTATTTATAAAATGTTAGGGCCAGGATCTGTCTACAAGACAGCAATTTGTTTTCTTAGCAGCCAACCCTCTGCTTTGGTTCTGGCCCCTTTTGTTCCATGAAATGAGGGTGGCCACTCCCTGTCTTGTGCATACCAGCAACGTCTCAATCGGTTGCTCCACTACAAACAATGCAGAACGGAAAGCAAACACCTCCATGTGCCCAGATGTTAATTGGGATATATAATCAGTACACCCAGGGTAGTGCTCTTTCTGCATCTTCTGAAACCTAGCTAGGAGGTAGGATAATGCTATTATTATTATTATTATTTGGCCTCTGAACAATTCAAAAATGCTTTATCCAGTTGGTCCTTCAGGCTTCAGTTGGAGCATTCCTTTTACTCCTGGCTTGATACACACAGTGCTATATAGTTTAATAGCTCTATCTGTACATGCTAAAATCAAGTCAGACTTGCTCCATGTGAGTAAAAAGCTGCTAAGACCAATGTATTCTCTATATCTCTGAAAAATGAGAGCATGACTGTTTATTCAAAGTCTAACAGTGTATTAGAATATTCACATGCAAAAGTCAAAGCTTAAATTATAGCCGTAAGTCATGTAGAGGTCTTTCTGTCTCGTACTCTTTCAAAGGAGACATACAAAAGCTAGAGCGACTTTTGTGAAAATATTAATTTGCTAAAATAGTTGACATGATAAAGGATACATGTAAATGTAAAAATGGACAGGTTTTAAAAAGCTGGCTCCTAAGATTGTGTCACATTTTAATAAGATCTAAACTGGGCTTATGTTCATCAGGCAATGAACAGGGACATCCCCCAGGCACCTTCTGACATTGAGCAGAGCGCAGAGCTGGATTCTCTGAACACAAGGTGCTTGCCCGCGTCCTGACTCCTACTTCATAATTTAATAGTGACAGTAAGGCAAAAACCACTTTCTGAAAAATGTTTAGATACAAAATAATGTAAACGAATAAGTTATATTTGAAATCCCAGTATAACAAAAGCAAGGAGATGGACACTTTATACATCAGGCTCTCTTTAAAACAGAATTGTGCACAAACTGAAGATTTCAATAAACCCCCAGAATTCACACAGTTTTGGCGTGTCTTTTTTCTCTCGTATAACTTCTTTCATGTACATTTTAAGTCATATTAGGAATGCAAACTAGACTGCATACTACTTCAGTGGAAAAAAAAAAGTTTGATATTGTGCAATTTCCTGCCGCTATACTAAAAGTGGCAGAAATCCCTGCATTAGTTGTGTTTCAAACATGGATCTTAAGAAACACATCTCAAAAGAGGAAAAGAAGGCAAAAGTTGGCAGATATCCAGCATCTAGTATTTCCTGTGTGTCTTTAAAAAAAAGCGTGAACAACAACAAAGTTTCATGATTAAAAATAAATACTGTTTGACTTTTGCACTGACTTGATTGGATAGATTTTTTTAAGTAAACAAAGGATTTTACAATGCTCCATACAGCCTCAAAGCCACAGGTCTTCTATTCCAGAGTCCTTCTGTCTCTCACTGCGTTTCAAAACCTGCCATCCGATATCCAGTTTGACTAGTTAGAACGCTTCCATTCTGCCCCTGGGGTGGGGGTGGTGGGGGCGGAGGAGGGGGTGGCACACCATAATTTGCACCCATCCATGCTGCAGATGACTGTGTCTGACTGAATGAACGGAAGAGGAAACGAGGTTAGATAAAGCTTGCTTTGTAACAGGAACAGCAAGCAATCGTGGAGTATTTCTTCTATATTTTCCATAACACCGGAAGCCTCGGATCACAACGTTCTATCAACCTGAGCGCCTTAAGTAACCACCGTTTCATATTTTCCAGACTACAGGAACTATGAATTGGAAGCTCATCAAATGTTCCACTCCTGCTAGTTTCTAAGAGCTGCATTCCAGGTATGATTCATTTTACTATTTTGGAAGGGTGGTCTAATTTTATAGTATGCTTCTTTTAATTAGTATTTTATCCCTTTTTTGCAACCTACAAATATATAAAAATAATCAAACTGGCGAAGACACAAATGCTGTTTTTCAAACAAGCACATGAACATATTAAAAATGAAAACTTAGTGCTCCAACTATGTGTACTTTCATTTTCATTGCTGTCAGCAAGCCTCGGCAAACTCCAACACTTACCCGAATCCCTGGTTCCATGCCTGCCCATACATTCCATATGCAGGGACTTGCCAGCCATTAGGCATATACTGGCCAATCTGCTGGGCGTTTCCATACCACTGGCCCCACTGCCCATAAGGTGGTGGATAGCCCACTTGATTCTGCTGAAAACGTTAATGATGGTCCAAAGTTAGCATGTAACACAGGCAAAATCGCTTTGCAAATCCATGCCTAATAAAGTACAGGGAAATCATTTTACTTCATATTGGAACTCGGACGAGTTCTTCACTATGGCATCTATTATAGCTAATTTCTACCCACCTTCCAACTACGATCACCAGGCTATAAATGAATAGCAAAGAAAAGGGATTTGGAATCCATCTTGAGGAAAGATCTACATAGTAATTTTGGGAATGCTTTTCAGCGGGACAGGTAATACCAGCAAAGGACACTTACCTGTTGAATTGGGTTGATCATGTCTGGTGTCTCTTTGCCCCAATAGCATTTCACCACATGTCCTTCTATTGTGGTGCCATTGACTGAAACAATTGCATGTGCAGCACTTTCATGAGAATTGAACCTGTAAAGCGCGTACAAGGGAGTAAATGAACATAATCGCCATCATTAATGGGACAGCAAATAAATGATGATGCAACAATTCTTCATTAATATGAATATGCACATGCTGTTCACACAGAAGAGGACAATGCCAGGAAAGTCACGTTTTGAGGGCAAGTTGAAAGAATCTGAAGCCACATGCCCTGCTCTGGCCCTGCGCTGGAAGTCAGATGACATTGTAAGTGACACATGCAGAATGTAAGTCTGAAGAATTCTCAGCCACACAGCGTCATGATAAAAATACTTGTTTTACTTTATTTGATCCTTCCAATGCTATGATTTTAACAGCTATCATGTCTAGATCAAATGCAAAAGACTCACTACTCAGAGGAATGGAATCAGCAATTTGTAGACCAGACAATCTACCAAGGGAGGTATGTGGTCTTCAAGGAGGAAAGATCAAAGACGTGACAGAGAGGCTTACCAAAATAATCAACCCCACAGATTATCCTTTCTCCTCTTTCATGTGGGCATGAATGATGCAACCAAGAGCCGGGAACAATCTCAGGAGACGATGAGCAGCTAGCCATGAAAGCCTGATTGGCTTATTATCAGGGGATGTCTTATTTTGGGGTAAACAGGGTACATCAACCACTTCCACTGTGATGCTCCACCACTGCCCCCCCCCCCAAGTTTACTGGCAAAGCCAGAGCTTTGGGTTTACATGTAAGAAATTACTACACCTCTAGAGCAATGCAAAAATCCAAAGAAGAAAACCTTCTCGAATGCATTCGAGTTAATATAAAAGGAAAAGGAGATATACTACACATTACCCAACTCAATGTCCTTAATGGAGCGACCTCTACATGGAAGAAAGTAAGGTGTAGGGTATCTCAAGGTTCTGTCTTGGACCCAGTAGGCTTCAATATCTTCATACATGGTTTAGATAAGGGGACAGAAGGGGAACACCTGAAACTTGCAGACACCACCAAGCTGGGAGGAACTACTAAAACTTTGGAAGTATGTTGGCAGACTGGGCCCTATCCAACAAAATGCAATTCAGTAAGGAGAAAAGGAAGGTCTTACACTGAGACAAGAAAGACAAAATGTACAAGTATAGAATAGGTGGTCTCTGGCTCAACGGCAGTAACAATGAGAGGGATCTAAAGTCCTAGTGGACAGCCAGACAAGTAGGAGCCAGCAGTGTGTTGCAGCTGCCAAAAAAGCCAATGCAGTCCTTGGCAGAGGAATAGCATCAATATCACATGAAGTGATACTACCACTTTATACTGCACTGTTAAAACCACACGTTTGACTACATTGAACTTCTGGTCACCACGATACAGTACAGATGTTGAGGCTCTAGAAAGAGTGCAAGAGGAGCAACAAAGATATTTATGGGGCTGCAGGCTAAACCATACAATGAACAGTGCAGAAATTAGGAATTTCTAATCTAGCAAAGAGAAAAGGGGGGGGGAATATCGATAACAGTCTTCCAAAAATTGAGAGGCTGTCACAGAAAAGAGGTGGGTTGACATTCTCCAAAACCCCTGAGGGCAGGACAAAAAGTAATGGATGGGAAATGATTAAACATAGCTCTAACACAGAAATTTCCTGACTGTGAGAGCAATTAACCAGTGGAACAGAAGTTGCCTTCAGAAGTTGTGTGGGTGCTCCATCACTGGAGGTTTTTAAGAAGAGACTGGGCAGCTATTTGATTGTAATGGTATACGGTCTCCTGCTTAAGCAGGGGGTTGGACTAGAAGACCTCCAAGTTTCCCTCCATCTCTGCTGTTCTATGAGACTTCTAAAATACTGAATACAGTACTTTAAGTAGAAAATACAGCAGACTTATTTTAACAAGTATCTGGTGTCCACTTAATGAGTTTTTAGATTAATATGGACTCTTGGAAACCCTTTTTATCTGAAAGAAGAAAATGTCTGCACTCCACTTTCCTTTCTATGTTTGTTCCCTTACTGTGGTATCCAGCTCAGTATCAAGATATCCCATTTTCTTCCCCAAACCTTTTCAGGATTTGCTTTCCTTCCTCTTCTTTCTCTTCATAGTTTTGTGGATAGGTGTAGGATAGGATGGAAACATTCAAGATTGATGTTCCTCAACCTCAGGAACTTTTAAGATTTGTGGATATCCAAGATACTGGGTGGGGAGTTTTGGGAGCTGATGTCCACCTGTTATAAAGTTGATGAGGTTGTGAAACACCAATCTAGAATAAGGAGGTGGTAGACCAAGCTTAATTGGTGACCCAAGTGACTTAATTCAATGTAAGAATAAAATAGCGAGTAATTTCTAGGGCTGCGTGAAGAAAGAGATCTGCATCATCACCCCTTTTGCTGAAACAAGGGAGCCACAAGATTTGTCTTGATGGAGCCATCTGGGTGGCTGTGCTGTGGTCCAGAGCTGCAGGGAGAGGTTCCTTCCAACCAACTCCTTCATGCTGGTCAAAGTGCTTATAGCACTTGCCAAAGTCTCAGCTGTGTTTTCCAAATGTGAATGAAACTTTGTATTAAAAACATTTTGCACACAGCAACATATACATCTGTCTCTCTGCAAATCACTTACAAATGTGAATTTGCACATTAGTTGGAGTCTAACTAGAGGTGGTTTTATAAAACTTCTGAAAACACAAATAGGGTGTGTAAGAGAAATATTTTCATACCGTACAAAGGAGTACCCTTTATCTGGAAAGACTCGAATTTCCATTATCTGCCCAAATGGAGAAAACGTCTGGCGCATTAGCTGTTCTGCGAACAAGAAGATCAAAAAGATTTCAGAATGTGCACCTCAACTGTCCTCCACAAGCTCACTCTAAACTGATGGCATATCCTACCTGTCAGACCTGAAGTTACGCCACCGCAATACACAGTGCAGTTGCTTGGACTGGACTGATTTACAACATCATCGTAGGAGAGTTGTTTGGCATTTGCTATATAAAACAATCAAAGATTTTATCAGTCTATGATTTATTTGCAATAAAACAAAGTTGTCTAAAATATTGGATACAATGAAACACAAGAAATGGCATTTGGAAAGCTATTTTCCAAAACTATCCTTCTCTAATCTAAGGATTTACTTTTTGTTGCTGTTCAGTCGCTAAGTCAAGTCCAAATCCTCGTGACTCCATGGACCACAGCATGTCAGCCACCACTACCCCCGAGTTTACCTAAACACACGTTCATTGCATTGATGCCCTTCTCTAAGTCTCTCCTCCTCTGCCCTCCTCCTCTCCTTTTGCCTTCAGTCTTCCCCAATCTCAGCGTCTTTTCCAATGAGTCCCCCTTCTCATTTGGTGGTCAAAGTATTAAGCTTCAGTCTCTGCCTTTCCAAAGGTGGTCGGGGTTGATTTCCCTTTACAATTAACTTTAAGTGGCATTAATTTCAATCTCTGAAATATTTAGTTCACAATCTAAGACTGGTAGCCTATTCTGAAAATTTAGAGAATTACATCTTTCAGCCCCAGCAATAGCCCATATCAGATACAATTGTCAGATACAATTGTCCTTAGCGAAGGAAAGTCCCTTTGGATTCAGAAAAGCTTGTTTCTTGTAGCTGGAAATGCCTGGTTTATTTTGAAGGCTACTCACATTCATATGTACTCTTTGGAGCTGGAGGTTTGCGTGTTGCCCAATTAGTCCTGATTTGTCTTCCACCAAGCCACTGTCCCCCCATTTGTTGAATTGCATTTTCTGCATCCTATCAGGTCCAGAAAAAATATATTTAAAAAACCCTTCAAAAAATACTAAATCATAAAAAATTCTTTATCATAAACATTCATTATAGTATCACATCTAAAGAATCAAAGTCTTATCTTTAAATTTACCAAGAGGATTCAAATTATATCACTTTGATTTAAAAAAGGCTTATTTGTGACTACCATACTCTACAACATTTCCAACATATTTCAAGAATTGTATCATAAAAGAATCATTTATTAACAAATGAAGACTGAAAGATTATGCTTCTTTTCAGAAAGGAGTAGTACCTATTTTAAAAGAAATGTGCAAGTACAAGCATTATGAAGTGAAATTCTACGAACTGCAGGCAATTTAACTTTCATTGTATTAATTGAAGACAAGATTGATCATTATTTTCAAAATCAAACAAAGGTAAGTGTTGCAGTTGCCCAGCTGTTCTTGTATCTGGATCATCCCTCCCTCCCTCGCACATAACAATAAAACAGTAGATACAAAATGTAAAAACTGTAAGAGGGCAAGAGATTAAAGGGAGGACTTTCAGGATCCCAAGCAGCCCCCACAGTTACATTCCTATCCTGTTACATTTCTGGTTAATTGTTTTAATTATTTACATTTGATTATATGAGTTTGTCTTTTCTGTTTTAATTTGTATGCTGCCCAGTATCTTTGTAAGTGAGATGGGCAACTATATAAATTTAAATAAATTTTAAAGGCTATTAAAAAAAAAAAAGGAAAAGGGGATAACATGCAATATAGGTAAGTTGGGCTGGGTCTGCTTGCTTGCTTGATTTATATTTCCTATTTCTAAACTGCCCTTCTCCCCCAGAGAGGGGTTCTGGTAATCAATACATAAACAATGTATAAAATCAACATTAAAATTAATTTAAGATTGAAAATTATAAAAACCCAAAGATTTCAAAAAGATAAAAAATTCAAGATGGACATTTAGCATTAGTTCATACAGAGGTGTGTGTGTGTGTGTGTGTGTGTGTGTGTGTGTGTGTGTGCGCGCGCGTTTGCTTCTCTTGGGGCCAGGCAGCCCAATGGTTGGGTGGTCCTCTGTGCCCCCCAAACAAGAACCCAGAGCCCCTTTGTGGACAGCCAGGAAATTGGAGACTTTCCTCAACTCTTAGGGCCGGAGGTCCTACAATACGTGGGCAGCAGCAGAGAATGCCCTCTTCCTAGATCCCCCCCCCCGGTTGAAATTCTTCGACTGATGGGGTCTGCAGCATGCCTTCCCTGCCTGACCGGGTGGGGCAGGCCGGTGTGATGGGGCGAACCCGGTTCCATAGGTAGCCTCACCCAGGCAATGTAGGGCTTTATAGGACACAACCAACACCTTGAGCTGGACCCGGAAGCAAACCGGAACCCAGTGCAGCTCCCAGAGCTGAGTGTTACATGCACCCTTCTTCGGGCCCCTAAAATTCGGGCCTGTGGGGCCACATTTTGTACCTCTGGAAGCTTCTGGATGCTCTTCAAGGGTAGCCCCATATAGAGTGCATCGCAATGGTCCAAATAGGATGACAAGGGCCTGAGTGATGGAGCCTTCCTATCCAGGAAAGGGCGTAACTGGCACACAATGCGGAGTTGGGCGAAGGCCTATCAGTAAATATTGTCTAATCATATGTGGGGAAATGTATGTTAGGCCTGCCTGAGGTGACTTAGATTTGCTCCAATCAAGCGTCATGTCGCTTCCCAAAGCAGCTTTGAGGGAGCGCTTTGTTCAAGCCACATTGCTAGTAGCCCATCAGTCAGACGGTGGTAAACAGGTGGGGGAATGGTCTTTCGTGCCCATACATACATACATACATACATACATACACACACACACACACGGCAAGGGGCAAATGACTCTCAGTTCTTCCCTGGCTTATTTCACCACAACCCATAGCCTTCATCCATTATTCTTCCCTGGGCAACTCAGTTCAAGAATTGGAAAAAAAAAAAAGAAAGAATTGAAACTGCCTAAGGAATCATTAGAACACTGTAAGCAAACATCCATTTTGCCTGAAGATGCGCTGCCCACATTTTCTTTATAAATGGTGCAAAGTTTTACCTACATGTTCCTCAAATCTCATATGTTCTTCACATGCAGAATTCACTGCAGTTTCAGCCTCACTGCTTCACTGAGAACACCATTCCCAAAATGGAGCATAAACACTAAGTTGAAATCTTGCTCAGGTTTGTACTAGAGTGAGATCAGAAGAGAATCTGCTTTTCATATACTTCAGGGGGTGAATGAATCAGGGTGGTGACAATGAAATATTATAGTCTTGTGAAATTAGAGCAAGTGGAAAGCTATAATGCCGGAACTATACTGCTGAAAAATCACTAAGTACATCTGGACTGTTAACTATTGTGAATCATCTTGTCAGGTTCTAGATTATTAGCAACACGGTGTAGTTTACTGCCACAAGACGTTTGAAATAGAGCAAATCTAACTATTTCACCATTTTCATTATTGCACATTATTGCACAACCAGTTTCACCAAGATGCCTTTCGTAATAGTTCCTGAATACGTTTGACCAGTTGTGCGTTGGGCGTAAAAACCATCAATCAAAATGCAGGAACTCACCCATTTATTGAAGAAAGAAACGAAGCCATATCCTTTTGATTTTCCTGTTGCCATGTCCTTAACAACTCGGGCATCCCTGGAAAGGAAAGAGAAAGCCAGTTAAGCATCAACTGAACAGAATCCAAGTAAAAAATGTCTCACACGCAGCTCATTTCTCATGTTTCTCCTTTAATAAAATGAACTTCTTAAATGCACCAGCAACATACAGTCAAAGCAATTTTCCCTTTTACTAAAGTCTTATCACATGATAGCAAAAATTAAACTTAATTCTGTAAACATGCAAAATCAATAGCTTTAAAAACAACTATTTTACAGTCGTTGGTTCACAGTTCAATGCTCTTATATACTGTTAAAAACACTAGGCATGGTCAAAGCAGCTATTCAAAGGAATAACTGAGGGCATGTAGTTGACTAGCATATTAGCAACAGGCTCTCTTGAACCATGCAATTTATAAACTTACTATTGGCCAACACATTCTACCTACTTATTAGAAATAGAAAATAGAAAAAATGAAAAAATAGGAATTAAAAGGCATACGTCGCCTGTTAACTGAATTCTTTAATTTTCTCAGGTCAATTCGTTACCCCCTTTTTGGACTTGGGCAGCTGTAAATTTTGAGAAATTGACATTTTCAGAAATGGTTGCATTATGGAAGAAAATAAACACTAACATGTTTTTTAAACTATACACTATTAAATAATTTTTAAAAACTGCATTCGTAATTAACAATCATACAGGACTGATTGAAAACTACAAAGTATATAAAGTAAAAATTTATAAAAGTAAAATAGAAAAACTACAACGTTTGTCCACTGTGAACTGTAGCTTGCAGTTAGCCATGGCAATGCTGTCCATTCTTCAGAGACATTCTGCAAAATAACCAGAGCCCTATTATTTGAGATTGAGTTAAAAAAGACAAAGACCCAGCTACAATAGCTAAACCCCACTGGTGGAAATGCAGTTTTTATTAATTAAGGGCCTCTCAGATAATTTATGCATTAAAGGTGCACTATCGAGAAGGCTTAAGACACACAGCCATCGTTACCCTCCCCAACCCACACGATTTAGGCACTTGACACGCACAGATACACAAATCACAGAGTGAAGCCAAGGGGAAGGCCATGCAGGGGGCCCGAAAGACACAGTCCCATACACTCAAGCTGGAAGAGGCTTCATGTGATGCCAAGCAGTCCTCCAAAGAATTTCTATGGACATTCAGTGTCTACCTTCTGGTACTTAAGATACAGGGAAGAAGCTAAGGAATTGGAAAATCACTGAAACAGCCAACTAGTTATCAAGATCATTAAAGATATTACTCTATGAGAAAGAAAATAACCAAATAATCCAGAAGAAATGGATATTTGCCTTAAACTTTTAATTGTCTAAGTTAGAGCAGGGAACAATTAATTTCATAATGACATGGATGATTCTCTGTACTTAACACTTAACTATCATTTTTTAAAATAAGAACCCAAACCACAAACACATAGACATGCTAGTCAAACCCTGATAGAATAAATGCATTTGTACAATTATCCATTTGTTCTAAGTATATATTAAAGTTTATACAAATACTGAATGTTTCAAATCAATACTTCTGGAACTATCAGTAGAATATTAGAAATTATTTTCACCCAGAAATTGAAAGCCACCCCGTCAAGAGAATAAAATAGATTTTTAACATTTTTGGTATACTAAATATGTAGCATTATAGTTCAGGTATAAAAAATAACAGTTGAAGTGCATGTTCTTCTACTTTCTGAATTAGATAAAGGAAACTTGAAAGACCGCCTGCTGGTTATGTTTTTATTCTTCAATATTTTCTGATGTTGTCCTAACCCTGGTTAGGATGAGCACCAGCATTCTGGATCACCAGCTAGTGGGACAGAAGCTTTTGGTTTCGAGGATGGATGTGGAGAGAGTCTTTATTCTGCCCTCCCTACATCTAGGCTGAATGCAGCTATTGGGAATACTTACACCTAGAGTAAAGCTGGCTGGGGGCGGGGGGGGGGGGGTAGGTAGACAGGCCTTCCCCTTCCAGAACCAACTGCAGACTTACACCACAGCATTAGCAGAACTTTTTAAGTTAACCCTTGCCTGGAGCTTACAAGTTTATCATATTAAAAACAGAGTTGCTATGATCGCAGAAATGTAAACTTAGGCAAATCTTGATCTGGAATGAGTCCTAGACCTTCAACTGGCCAAGTTTACGAACCAAGCCATCATCAAGTTCTATATATCTTGTGTTTATATATCCTATGTATCCTGCTGTGTAAATCCAGCCATTGTGGGTTGTGAAGCCTGGTTTCTGGCACCCTGAAAATCTCAGGCCTCAAAATAGAATAAAATGATGCCCAGAAGATGCTGGAGGAGGAGAAGAAATCGACCGGACCCCTTGAATGAAGAACAACTTAAGGGCTGTAATTGTAGATTCACTGAGTCATCTTCTTTCTATCTCAGTCTGTCTGAATCAAAATCAAGCAACTATTTCCAAAACAAGGACAGACCACTTTTACCAGGACTAAGGCCTACAGAGGCCAACAGATGTCACTGTAGGGGTGCAGCGGGGGGGAGGGGAGGCAATGCACTTCATCCAATAGGCTCCCATGTGAATATGGAAGATCTGAAGAGGAACCACAACCACGTGCAACTGAATGGATTTGTCCTCAAGAGAATGGCAAACCAGTGCAGTTCAAGTTATCTATGGCTAGTTCTGACCCTCATTCAGGGGGGGGGGGGGGGGGGGGGGGGGGAACGGGACGGGACTGGAGCGCACATGCCCATCGCCTTCACTGACATTAGGAGTTGATCCCTGAAAGGGGCCATGAATCGGATACTTCAACTGCAGCTCACAAGCAACACATTTTATGCTGGTATTCAATGCATTATAAATATTAAAGGTTGCTTTTTACTTCCATTCAATTGTGTCCAATTCTCAGAGAGTGCCTGGACATGTCCCTGAAGTTTTTTTGCTAAGGTTTGTCAGAAGTGGTTTTCCACTGACTCATTTCTAGGGATAAGAGAAGTGACTGGCTTGATGTCCAAGGAGGGACTAGATCTCATAGTTTCCTGGTTTCTAGCCTGATATCTTAACTGCTACACCAAACTGGTTAATCCTTTGAACAAAAACTGAAGTGATTTGTAGCTGATAAATCTTAGAAGAATGTTTCCACATTATATGTTTTGCTTCTGAATCTTAGCAGCCAAAATATTTTGACCAAAAGTTCTTCTTTAGGAAAAAAACCCACTAAGAATAACCTTTGGTTAAAGGCTTCCTCCCCCACCCCCCTAGAAGCAAAACTTTTTCTCAAAACAAATCGGAGCCTACCATCAAGTATTTTAATTTTCAACACGGTACACCTTGACACGCACTAGGATTACTACCTAATTACAACATAAGATACTCTGCTTTTTTCAGAATAAGTAGTATAGTCGCTTTTTGTGAGATGGGCGGCTATACAAATTTGATTATTAAATGCATATTGTATTGCAAAAGAATTATAGTTATTCTTAATGGAATTCCGTATTGTTTAAGTTTGTTTTCCATTAACATGGCTTCTTAGGTATTGTTTGTTAGTTGCCCAGTTGTTTGTTTAAGGTAGGCAGCCACAATACCTGGGGCTAAATAAATATGTGAAACAAAAAGCTCTCATGATATAAGGAAAAAGAGCACAAGCCTCAGGATCCAGGCTGCAGCTGAAGTGTCTTGTTTGGGCTGGAGAGACAGACAGGCAAAGCCGGAAGGGGAATATTTTACAAGGGCAGAGGAAGAATGTCACCAATTTGCTGTCTGAAAAAAGGGTGGCCATGTCTACAACCGCAGCTATTTTGAGGGAGCGGCCATCAAGGACTCCCAACGTCCCCAAAGCCAGAGACAGCTGGGGGCCTTTAAGACTAGGCAACCCTGCCGCAGCATTTGCTGGCAGCTAGGCCCAAGGCAGAGAGGGCTGCCTCAAGTCTACCATGGGCACAGAGAGACATCTCTAGGGATCGGGAGAAAACGGCCCCAATCCTCCTTTTACTGGCCCAGGAGCGGTCACAGATCCTATTTTTGTTTAATGAGATTTCATGAAGGGATCAGTGCTAGAACACAAGCACTAGCAAGAGGCCTTGCAAAGGGAAGCATTCGTTGGATCTTCCTCATAGTTTTGTGGGCAAGAACAGGCAGCCTTTTATCACCCATTCAAAATGGATGAACAGCTGAACTGAACTCAGCAGCAGGCTTTTTTGCTCAGAGCAGCTTCTAAGTTATTTGAGGCTCAAGTGGTCTCTTCACGTAATTTGTACCATGCAAACAGGGGCCAGAGAGCGAACTCTCTCATCCTGCAGCCAGCAGAGACCAGCTGCTCTAGGAATGCTCTCTCCCTGGTCTCCACTTTAATCATTACTGCCCAGGCCACGTAGGATGAAACGGGCAAAAAGGTCAGCCTGCACTCTTATGTCATCTATACTAATGCTAATCCCAATTGAGCAATCTGATTTTTAATTTAAATTTTTTTTAATCTGCAATAAAGGGAAGATTTCCAGCCAACTGTGTAGCAGCTGGGAAGTGATTTCTCCCGGTTGACCAGAGCCTTTGTGATGGCGTGCTGGTGGCCCTGCCCTGCACTGCACTGCACTGCGTAGATCCAGGCAATGTGAGCAGCATACACGACAGCTTGTTCTTGGCTTTTATCAATCCTGAAAATAGTTAATTTAGGTGTGGTTGAATCGAGGTTTGCAAGAGTCAGGAATAATTTGAAGAGCAGTTTTCGAGAGGAGGAAGCAAGAGACCACTCATCTCCCTTGGCTCTCAGGAGGTCTGCACAAGTTACAAACGAATGAATCAGTTCATGACGCTCTACATTTAGAAATCAATTTTTCAAGCTATTGTTATTGTTATTCAACCTTTGGTGAGTCCTAAAATCAGATTAAGTAAAAGGATACATTGTTATCTTGCCACTCTAGCTTCACTGGACATCTGTAGCAACAGCAGCAATGCACTACACTGGATACCAATTTCTAGTTTATTTTATTTAATAGAGCACCCATTTCACAAAAAGCCAAAGTCTTGCAGGCCACATTTTCTCCGAAACCTGATGAATTTGAAAGCTGCTTTAATGAGACTATGATACCTCAGGAGACACTCAAGAGAGACCTTACTTATGAGAATCCATTCTAGAAAGTGAACTAAATAAGTCTTAGAACACAGATTTTCAAATATTGTAAAATGAACGTATCTTCTAAAATACTAAGCACAATTAGTAAAACTGGATTATTTGATAATCTGAATAAATACAAAAAAGATGCCTCTCTTTAGAGAATATAAATTAATTTGCCAACACTCTATTCACAGCATTCAGCTGAATATTTGATTGCCCCCAGTATCTGACAATAAGACGTTACTTACGATATTCTTCCAAATGGTGCAAAAGCTGCTTTTATATCTTCAGTTGTAATTTCTGGGCTGAGGTCTCCAACAAAGACATGGAAGTGGTCTTTTCAAGAAAAGAGAAAAATGTACAAGTTTGCAGAGTGTTCATAGAAGTGTAGGTGATGGTAATTTTAAAAATTTTGTACTGATTTCCACACAAATAGAAACTATATGAAAACTAGATTTTATTAACCTATCAGGTAACAAAATACAACATTGTTTTATTATATATCATCAGGAGACATGGCAGTACAAAAGTATAGAAAATTTACATAAAACTAACATTTATTGTTTTTATATTATCTGTAATTATTCATAGCAGAAAATGTATTACCATGAGAACTATGCTCATCTAGCTCAAAGCCAGAGCAAACAATATACTGCATTTGTAGCTTTGTTTTGTAGTACTAGCATTAAAAAAGCTACCACATCTACTGGTTCCGTGAGCAAAAGAGAGTAAAATTTACACAAACTAGTTACAGAGAACCTAAGTTACATATAGCTCAAACTTAAGTCATATTTTGTGAAGAACAGTCAAAAAGATACCTTGCATTGCAACAGTTTGATGTTAAAGTATTTGACAGTTTTCTGAAAAGCCAAGAGTTTTGATTGCCCAGCCTTTACACCATGTGAATCCATGTGAATTCAAAGTATGTGAAATCCATGAGCAAGTGAACTAAGACTGAAGGCAACAGAACGGAAAGAGTAATCCCTTCATAATTTAGATTAGATCCATTTACATAAGAACTGGCGAAACACAGCTGTCATATCTAAGGAGGTTCTTCATAGTCACACAAAGCCCACTTCAATTTTCCGCACCTCTAACAGGTTTCACGGCACACCTGGCGCTGCAACAGCACCGCTCTGGCAAGAATCCCTTTACATCCTCCCCAAGTTCTCAGAGCTCTCAGGCCGGGCAAGTAGAGGCAGCCCCGGGATGCCGAATAACAGGAGGGAAGGAAGATCCAATTGGAGGAGCCACTGGTACCCCACGAGAAATGTGGGGGTGCAGTGTGGGCAGCAGCTTCCCCTCAGAGGGGACACGCCCACTGGGGTCACAGGGCTTACAAGTCCGCAACAGTCCACATCCTGATCCATCTGAGAGAGGAGGAGGAGGCAGAAAGCTTGCGACAACATAATCACCCCCCCAATAGCTTCAGGCGGTTAGTGAATAGATACCCCTGAGAGATTTCATTTTATGTTTAAGAAGATACAATTACCTTGTGAACGCAGTGTGTTGACAACGGTACTACCTGATGACAAAGATTAGATTTGTTCTTAAGTTTATTAACACAAACACATTAAATAAATTCTTAGGATAATGATCAAAATAATAGGGCAAATATTTGCATGATGCTTATTGCTTAACATTAAAAACACTTTTGTGCAAATAAAGAGTAATAACTCAGGATAGGAAGGGACTTACTGCTGGTATCTTTCTTCTGGCTGCTGGGGGTTGTTGCCCAGTTCACTTTGACCTCCTAGAAATAATATTTACTAGAATTATATCCAGGAAAGTTAGAACAAAGATTAATATAATCTGCAATCCTGTCAATGATTTGACATATTATACAGTGAAACCTTGAATTAACAGATGAGGGGAAGGGGGGAGAGAAGGCATTGTTCCTGACTGTCAGGTGAACTGCAAATTGTATCGTTCATGGCAATTTGTCATGTGGGCTACAACATCATATTCAAATGACATAAGTTACTGCAATTAATATTAATTAAATGTAGATGATTTATCTACTTCAGAGGCAACAGACTTGCCCACTGCTTCTGGGAAAAGTCCAGGCAAAAAATTCACCCATGAAATCCAAAGGCTGCTAAACAGGCATCTGTTACACTGAGGTTTTGCAACATTTAAAACATGACTGCTGTATTTAGCAATTAAGTGGTATCTCAAAAAACAACAGATTCTTCCACAAATGAAGTTGAATAGCAAGTAACTTTAAATAGTTTTCCTTTTTATAACCTTATGCTTTATTTTGCCAAGCTACTTTCCCCAAATTTCATTTGTGAAGTCATCATGCAGTTTTAGCTCAAAATGTTCTTTAAGAACTCAGTTCAATTCTGCAATACATAAGGCTCAAACAGGATAAAAGTTTACCTTTCGATTTTCTTCTTTTTTAAAACATGCTTTCATCCATCTATTTAAAGCCACAGTCCTGCTCCACGTCCCCTTTAGACCTGAGAGCTTACCTTACCCATTATCTTCCGCCCATTCATTGCCGCTAAAGCTGCGGCTGCGTGACGATGCTCATAGAATTCCACAAAACAGTACGGATCGTTCCCAGCTGTCTGCTTAAACAGAAAGGACAAACAGTCACTCTTACACTCTAGGAAGACCCTTTGTAAACCAGACCAAAATATTGACAGAGAAAGGAACGTTCTATCCCCAAAGAAAGTATTCAAAAGTAATTAAAGTAATTAAGACCTCTTAAATGGATGCATTATTTTTTAACAGCCAAACTGAAAGTTCAAACCTATACATCTCTACCTGAATCATTAAACCTGATGGATATTTTTGAATAGGCACACATTCCTTTTATATTTTGTACTTCTTTGTAATCTCATTTATTTTATTTTATTTTTCTTTTAACAGGATTACAGGATTACCTTTAACAAGATTTCCAAATGATTTCATGAAACTTTAGAAGTAATTTTTAGAATGAGTTTTTAATATTATTTAATATTAAACTTTACAGTATAAAAGCAGTAACACTATCATGTTTTACTATTCTGAATGTGATTCAGTATCCTACACGTAGCGCAAAGTTGATAAGATGCAGGCAACAGGAAGTTAACTTGTAAGGACCTCTCTAAATTAAAAGATTCTAGTTTTATTTAGCAGTGTGAGCATGCTTAGGGCAGGCACGTCTAACCTGTGGCCCATGGGCTACATGTGATCCTGGACAGCTAGTAATGCAGCCCCAAAAGCTAATAAAAACATTAAAAAACAAAGGAAGCTTCTTAATTATAGACATTAACTACGTTATATATTTTACATGTGACCCAAGACAATTCCTCTTCACTCAATGTGAGCTAGGCAAGCCAAAAGGTTGGACAACCATGACTTAGGATAAAATGGGACTTTGACTGCACTCCTGGCATATTGGTTAACTAAAGCCATTTATCTGGTCTACTTTTTTCCTGCATTGTATGAGAATTTATGTAAAGAAAGTCCAACCTCCCTTGAATTCTGTGTTGACTCTTATCTAACTCCAAGCAGGTACTAACTATTAGTTATTCCTGTGCATAGGCATGAGTACACAAACACATTCTATAGTTTTGACCAATGTATAACAAAGTTCTATGCATATGAAAAATTCTTAATCTGGTATCAACTTACATCCATTATCATTTTGCAATTTTTGCATGGTCCAATCTGACTGAACAGTTGGAGAATTAGGGCCTCAGTGACATCTCTCGACAGATTCCCCACATACCTGTAAAATATACACATTGAAGCTTGTAAATCTTACATAACAAAAGGGTAGCAGGGGGAGCTGCTGAGGGACTGTCCCCCAGCTTAGTGATTATTAAAATATCTAAGGTATTTAGTAGAAGACTGAGCTAAGGAAACAAAAAAACTCTCTGGCTTCCGATTTGAAAATCTGTATTGAGCAAAGGCAAAATTAAAATCTAACAGCAGTAATGAAGGCTGGGCAAATAAGCATAAACAAGAGATTGGACCACCCATTTGTTGCGAATGATATAGGGACTACTGCTCAAGCTACAGATAGTAAACTTACTATAGTAAACAATTATGCTCCATTTCTGCTGCTAAGCATGACAGTTAAATGTATTTTGTCCTTTACGAACTTCCTTGCCCATGGTTAAAACAAATCCCTGCATTTGCTAGAGGAATAACACCGGTGTTAAGTGAATCTGGTTTCCACATCGACTTGGCTTGTCAGAAGGTCGCAAAAGGTGATCATGTAACCCTGGGACACTGCAACCCTCATAAACATGAACTCGTTGCCAAGCATCCAAAATCTGATCATGTGACCATGGGGATGCTACAACGGTTTTGTGAAAAATGGCCATACATCACTTTTTTGTGTCATAACTTCGAAAGGTCACTAAACGAATGGTTGTAAGTTGAGGACTACCTGTAGAAGACTTCCAAGACTTTTTATTTCTTATATTTTGAACAAAATTAGTAGTGTTTTTACATAAAGTATCCACACTGTATTTATCTTTCAGATATTATCTTTTTAAATTTGGATTTCTTTTGCTCTGTATATTTGTAGTTGCCAGTAATAACCCTTCCTTTATCAAAGGCTTGTTTAACTAATTTTTTTTTTCAAGTAAAGGACAATGGAAAAATTGTACTTGATAGCCTCTTGAATTTAACTTTCGGTTTCACAAGTTTACTACATTAATTTGTTTGCCTTATTTTTTAAGTCTTAAGAAACGACTGCACCTTTATTTACTACTTATCTATGAATTAACAAATACGAAATTATTCCAACTATGAAGCCGCTCATTTCTACATAAACATACACTGGTACTGCTGGGAACAGCTTCAGTCTGAGAGGATCAAGCTACCATTGAGATTCTGAGGGTATACTTTCTCTTACAAGCTTTCATTGGTACAATAAAGGCATCTCCTATTCAAGGACAGGGAATTGGCTATTATTTTTCATGGTTTGTGACCTGCAGATGACTCCATAAGGTTTGAAAAGCTACTCAGAGCAAAATGTACCAGCTGTTTTAAAAGCTACTCCACAGGCTACAGATATGATTCCATACGCAGTTAATACTGATTTAATGCCCTGTGGCTGGATTCTTAATACCTCCTTCTCAAATGAGTCTTGCCTGGTACCGAAGAAACGTGGAGGCTATCCTAAAAGAAGGGATAATAATTATATGTAAAAACTAAGCTCAGAGGTGTGAAGTTTTATGAAGAACCTGGAAAGGTCCTTAAAGATAGATCTTTTTTTTAGTTGTTGTTCTAAGCTCTATGTCCAATAATTGATTAAACACCAGTTCATATTTGGTAGTTTGTTTTAAATGATTGCATACTAGAACTTTAATTTGTAAATTATTCCTGAAGTAAACAAAATGTCAAAGTGCTAATAGGTTTGACTAGTAGTATCTGTTTAAATCCTCTCATCTTTTAGCTACAACAATCCTTATGAATCCATAGTTATTCCAGATAGCCTCAGCTTCAAGCCACATAATCCTCAGATAATGTAATTATTAGCCATCCTGGCTGAGAAACTGTGGGGCTTCAAAGAAAGTAATTGAGAAAACTAATTAGAAGCATAGGCAACTAAAATGCAAATGGTCAATAAAAATAGGTTAACATGAGGAAAGTTCAAGACTGAAATGTATTTTTTGTCTGAGCACCTATGAGGGGCACCTTCATGTTAATAGATACCATATGTTTCCTGGGTATCAAAATATGGTAAAAACGCCAAACATTTTTCTTTAAAACAAAACACGAATATATACCAGATCAGCATAAAAAGCAGCCAAACAGAAAACCCAGATTAGGAACGGGGATAGGCTAAGGAATCATCAACATAGTTAAACAAAGGCATTTGCTACTGTGGTTTAACAGCCCTGGAAAAACAAAGCAGCCCCCGGGGACCTTCATTTGGTGGGTGATCTTTCGCACTTCAGGTGGTGGGAAGCAGCCAGGGGGGAGCTGAACATCCCCTCAACTAACATCCGGGGCCCACTAGCTGCAACATGTAACCGAACTCGAGGGAAGAAGGCAGAAAAGGTGGCGGCGTTTTCTGGGCTTTTGCTCAGGGCCCGGCATCTCCTTAGGAGAAAGGAGGGTGGGCTCCCTGCGATTTCTGCGAACAAAGCGCAGGGCAGCCCCGGCTGGGTGAAGGCGACCCTCGTCCGGGCAGACCCCTCTCTGAAACTCCCCCCCCCTTCAAGAGCCGCCGAGGGCGGAAGAGCCGAGGGCATTTCCATGGCCGCGAGGGCAGCCGGACCTCCCCTTTTTCTGGGGAAGGACCGTCACGAGGGAGGCTGGGACCGGGAAAGGGGAGACGGAGAAGGGGGAAAGTTGGGAATGGCCAGGAAAAAAAAGAGACGAAACCCGGCAAGCGGGGCTGTAAAATTCAGAACCTGCCTCGGTGAAAAGGCCGGAGAGCACAAGCGGAGCCCCACCGGGAAGATGCGCCTCCCCGCCGCTGCTGCTCTTCTTCTATCCAGCCTGGCTCATCTACGGACGGACACCCGGCAGGCCTCCCCGCAGGCGGCCAAGAGGCCCGAGTCCTGCTGCCTCCCGCTTTCCTACCAAGGGCGACCCTGCCAGGTGGGCCGCGGCTCCTCTCCTTTCACTCCCCGCTCCAAGCCAGCCCGCGCGGCCGGGAGAGGCGAGCCCGGAGCAGCGTCTCGGCCCGCCGGACCACCCGGGAGGCCGCGGCCGAGGCCCGGTTCCCCGGCGGGCATCCCGACCCGGCCTGAGGAGCCGGTTGAGGGAGGCAGCCACCCGTTGTGGGAGGCGAGGCCTGTCCGCCAGGCTCGCGCCGGCCTGGCGGCGGGAAGGCGCGGGAACAACGTGGCCGGGCCCTCCCACTGCGCGCGCGGGGCTCCCGCCAGACTCACAGGGTCTTCGGCATCTCGTCTTCCATGGCGGCGACGGCGGGGGCGCCTCGGCCGCACCGGTCAGGCGTGGGCGACCCGCGGGCCGAGTCCGCGAGGCAGGGAGGCGGCCCTCACGTAGGCCCGACGGACAACGAACCCGCCGCCCGTCCTCTCAAGATGGCGCTGCTGGGCGGAGAGGCCCGGCCGGCCGACGGAAAGGCGCCTCCGCGCATGCGCAACGTCTCCCGCCAGCGCACTCGCCCGAGGAAGCCCCGCCTTCTCGGCGGCTCACCCAATCCTGCCTCCCCTGGAGGCGTCCTTTCGGGCAGTGGGTCTCGCGAGACCTCCGCAGAACGCGTGCGCAGTACTGCTGTCTTACAGATCGAGGTCTCCGCTGCTGTTGTACAAGGCTCCGCTTGTTTCCTTTCTTGTAAAAAAAAGAAAAAAATAGATTCAAGTCAACGTTGGGTGGAGGAAGTAGGCACATTTAGTGATGGCCACTAAAAAAGGGGATGCTGAATGAAGAGGCAAAATGACTGCGCCGCCCGGGAATCGAACCCGGGTCGCAAGAATGGGAATCTTGCATGATACCACTACACCAGCGGCGCTGTTCGAAATTTGTTTGGGAAGAATCGTCTAGAAAGCAGAGACTAAAGATCAACCTGCCTTTAAAAGCTTTATGAAGATAAGCCCTCAGATACAGTATTATCGGACTGAGTTCTTCCAAAAATGAAAGCAACAATCAATCGATAGATGGAAAACATGTGAAGTAAATGTGTTAAATTGAACAGGAAATACTTTCAAAAAGTCAAGCACCAAATTGCCCTATAAAATACTGCTCTATAAAGTCTCTAACATCTCCAAAAATCACTTGAGAATCCAGGCAAAGAGAGGCCACAAATACTTCACAAAAGGTTCCTATCCTCTGGCTGTCCCCTGTCTTTTAGAGAGCTTACTAATTAAAAAAAAAAAGTTTATCCCTGAATTTAGTCCAATTACATTTCAGTTATTTAAAAAGGTTGTATAGCAGTTATTAAAAAGAGAACGAACTATACGGCAGGCCTCATAATTCATATAAAGGCCAAAGATGAATATTCTGAGTTTGCGTCAAAAATCATTCCCTGTCTGAATGTGAAAGAAATTCTTTATAATGCAAATCAACAAGACTTAAAGTTACCCCTAGGACCTGCCTGTTTTGTGTGTTTTTGGGTCTATTTGTTGCAAGAAGAGAATATTGCTGAGCAAAGAAAAGGAGAGCCTTGTTTCTGAAGGAAGAAAGTATTCCTCCAAACTCTCTGAGGAGGGAAACCTCCTTTCTCTCCCACCCAAGGGAAGCCTTGAAGGGCGCTTATGGGCGGGAGGCGGTCCAGCCGCGCCTCCTCAATCTTATCACCAGCGGAACGCCAGGAAACTGGGACCGGGGGAGCGGAGGGGGGGGCGGGGCTCTTTCCGGGCCGTCCAGCCGCGCTCCTTCGGCCATGGCTCCGCGGGCGCTGCTGCTGCTGCTGCTCATCTGCTGCGGGGACGCCTCGGGGACGCCGGAGCTGCGCCGCCCGCCCTCACGCATCGGTAGCCGAGCGCGCGGGGCTGGCCGGGCGGGAGTGGGTGGGGATCCGGCCCGAAGGCCTCGCTCGCCGGGGACGCCGCCGCCGCCGCGCCGCTTCCCACGCGGCCTGGCGCCGGGCACGGAGCCGCCTTAGCGTGGCTGCTGGGTGCCGCTGACGGGCCGGCCGAAGCGGCTGGGGCTGGGGCTGGGCCGGGCGGGGACGTGGGCGGCCCTCCCTCGCAGGGCGGGTGTGAGGGGGGGGGTGGGGGGGGTCTCCGGGGGGCCTTTGCGGAAGGAAGCGACGCGGCTGCCTCTTGCAGGGGTGATCGGGGCCGGCATCGGGGGCAGCTCGGCGGCCTATTTCCTGCGCCAGAAGTTCGGGCGAGAGGCGCGGATCGACGTCTTCGAGCGGGGCGAGGTGGGGGGCCGCCTGGCCACCGTCCAGCTGGAAGGCCGGGACTACGAGGCGGGGGGAGCCGTCCTCCACCCGCTCAACCTCCACATGAAGCACTTCGTCAAAGAACTGGGTGAGCCGCCTCGCCTCCCTCCCAAGAAGGCAGGCCTCTGCTTTGGGGGGGCCGGCTGGGGTCTCTCTCTCTGAGGAAGGGGGCCGTTTGGGGCAGCTGCAAAGGGAAGTCCGCTGACAACTGCTTGGCTGGCTCTCTCGATTTAATTTCCTATTCCCCCCTGGAGCTTCTCTAATCGTTCCTGCCCCTTTCTTTTCTGCCAAAACGCTTCTGCTGAGATCCAGAGAGGTGTTTTGGGGCACAGCCTGGCTTTGCATCCACATTCTTAATATGGAACAACTAATAAAAGTGGGCTTTAAGATCCATATTAACTTCAATGATCATACCCTAAATATTCCCTGGCATTCAAACTCGGGTGATGCCCTTCTAAAACTCTTTGGTTTCTCAGCAATAGGCATTCTTTCATCCAAAGCAGACAACAAGCTGCCAAATGTATTTCAAATCCAGTAAATCCAGGCCTTCCCTTTGCATCTGGTAACATTTTGTGTTTGACAAGGGTTTTTTTCCTTTTCCATGCAAATTTAGATAGATCATTTTGCCATTGCTTGAATTGTACTTCAGTTGTCAAAACAGATATTATCTGAAACAAAAAACATCATTTTAGGCAAAACAATCATTTTTGTCACAGAAATCCCCCCCCTCCCGCTTTTTAGGGTTTTAATTCTCTTGAAAAGATCTGTATTTGTCGCAGTAATAGCCAAGGAGGCATCCTGGTTCTCTCTTGGGCAGTGGGCCAAGTGGCTGCAGGGAGGACCTCAGAGGCTTGGGGCATTGGGTGGGCCTCCTCCCTCTCAAGTTGCCGTCTCTGCCTTTAAATCCACAGGGCTTTCTGTTCCTCAGAGTCAAGATGGGCTCATGGGCATTTACAATGGGGAGGAATTTGTCTTTGAGGAGAGCGGCTGGTATGTCTGGACTCTTCTGAAGCTCTTGTGGCGTTACGGACTCAACCCCCTGCGCATCTACATGTGGGTGGAGGAAGTCCTTGAAAAGTTTATGAGGTGAGCGGCACAAAGCAAAGGACTGCAGGGCGAGGGGAGGGGCTCTCTGGCACAGCCTCTGCATCAAAGGTTTTCCCTCCCCCAAATTCTTATCAACGGGCATGATGGGTGAGGATGATCATGTTACCAAGTTTGATTGAGTTAATGCTCACTGAAAGGCATTTTGCTTTTCCCTGGGCCTTTCTATTTTTGGGAAGCAAGGCCTCTGTCTGCCATGGAAAGAAAAAGACCAGGAAATTGCTTGGCTCTAAAATTGCTGTGTTGCTTTATCATATGATAATTGTGAAGAGGGCCACAGGATGGCTTGGTTTAAATCAATCGGTCAATCAACCAACCAAAAGCTTCATGAATTGTTCCAGATCAGAAAAACAAGTACAGTCAAGGCTGTTCGTACCTGGATGGGTGGCCAAGACTACAGACTAGAGTGGCGAGTCAAAGAACACCCCAAAGAGGAAGCTGGCCACCCCCTTCATAGTTTTAGGGCTATGAAGCCCCCAAGAGCTGAACTTAACTCGGGGGCTTCTTTACCTTTTGAAATCTCAGACACAGCCTGTGGTTGCTCAGAGAAGATTCTAATAGCAAACAGATGAGTACAAAGTAACGAAGCCCCTGAATGTTCAATAAAAGAGGTAGATGCAAAACCAGCTTTGCAGTTAAGGGAAAGACCAACAGCAGATAAAACTGGCAATGGCCTACAAAAAAAAGTTTGGCTGGCAGCCAGCAATTAGATAAATGCCAGTCATCACTTCCTAATACAGTATTTCTCAACCTTAGCAACTTTTAAGATTTCAAAATCCAGAATTCCCCAGCCAGCATGCTAAGAGTTGGAGCCCATGCATCCTAAAAGTTGCTGTGGTTGAAAAATACTGCATTAAAACATGTAATAAGAATTTGCATCTAGGGATTTCCTTAGCGAGGGAGAGAAAGTGCACATTTAGCAGGATTAATGAGCTACAGTGCATTCAGAAAGTATTCAGCCCACTTCACTTTTGTCAATTTTATTATGCCGCAACCAAATTCTACAGTTGTTGAAATACATTTTTTTCTCATTAATCTACACTCAGTACCCCATAATTTTACAGAATTTTAGAAATGTCTGTAAATTTATTTAAAAAAACAACTGAAATATTACTTTGGCATAAGTATTCAGACCATTTGCAACAACACGTGAAATTTATCTGTGGTCTCTCCCATTTCTCTTAATTGTTGCTGACGTTCCTACATCTTGGAGTCGACCTGTGATAAATAGATTGGGCGTGATTTGGAAAGGCGCACACACTCTGTAGAAGGCCTGACAGCTAGCAGTGCGTACTGTTGCAGAGCAAAAGCCATGAGGTCAAAGGAACTGCCTGCAGAGCTCAGGGACAGGATTATTGCAAGGCACAGATCTGGGGGAGGCTACAATAAAACTTCTGCTGCACTGAAAGCTCCTAAAAGCACAGTGGCCTCCATGATTCTCAAATGGAAGAGGTTTGGCACAACCAGGACTCTTCGATATAACAGCCTCTGGTGGATTTCTACTGTCTTCATCATCTGGGGGTGATGGAAGATGAAAGCACCAGCTTGGAGTTGTTATTTGATACTAGCAAAGGGTAATAAACGGCAGCTCTGATTTAGTTTTCTTCAAAAATAAGACAGAAACATCAACTCAAAATAGTTCAGATATTCGTTATTGAGAGCATATGTTGTCCCACTGCTTGATATATTTTGCACTGTTGCAAGATCCTTAGCCTGTTCGCCCCTTCCCCCACCCTCTTTTCTGTCCAGGATCTATCGGTACCAGTCGCACGACTACGCCTTTAGCAGCCCTGAGAACCTGCTCCATGCCCTTGGAGGGGCAGACTTCCTTCACATGTTGAACCACACCATCGATGAGTCCCTGCAAAAGGCCAGATTTTCTCAGGCATTCATCAACGAGATGGTCACTCCTGTCATGCGAGTCAACTATGGGCAAAGTGCCAGCATCAACGGCTTCGTAGGTAAGTGGTGCTTGTTCATTCCTAAGTAGCAAATTTAGGGTTGCACCACTGGACATCCACTTGTGCTTCTTGTACAACTTGCTCCACTTTTGAAAAAACTGGCCAAGAAAACTGCAGCAACATGTCCAGATAGTCTCTGAGAATCAGACAGGATTGAACAAAAGAAGGAAAAATGGGCCAAGACCCTCAGGCATATATTTTGAGGAGCTTTTGTTTCTGGATGTCCCTGTACCAAAAAAATGAATGGGGGAAACATCCCCCCCCCCAAACAGACAGGACTTTGCATACTTCTTTGAAAGGTAGCAAACGACAGAGCCAGTTGAAATGGAACATCGCACTTACTTCCCTTCTTGCATTATAGGATGGCTGGTTTTGTACATTATCTAGTAAGCCATAGTGGTTTGATTGTTCATAAGTAAGCCATAAACACAAGCATCCAGTGGCTGGGTTCACCTATTTTCTAAAGCCATAATGCAGTTTTTAAATTTTTGGCTTAGTTTTATTTCTAACCCTGTCACTGAATCACTTTAGCCTCAGCTACTGTCTTGTTTAGGTGCATCTGACCATTTGTTTCTTGGACTTTGTTTCTTTGCAGGAGCTGTATCTTTGGCCGGAGCGAGTGGAGGACTTTGGTCGGTAGAAGGAGGCAATAAGTTGGTGTGTACAGGCCTCCTGTATGCTTCCAAAGCCCAGCTTATTTCTGGTCCCGTTATCTCCATAGAAGCAAAAACAAGGCCGAAGGCCCGTGCAGGTGTGGTTGCCTCATATTTAATTATTTATTTCATATTTGCAAAATATGAGATGCGTTTATCAAGCGTGAAAGTTGTGCAAGATTGAAAAAAGAAGTGGGCAATCTGTTGCCCTCCACAAGTTTGGGTCTGCCACTTCCCCAACTCCTTGTCTTTGGCCACAAGAGCTGGAGTTGATGGGCTTCTGCAGTCTTAAGATGGCAAGTCCAGTGTCATTGCTAGGAAAAGAGATGGCACTGGACGTTAGGGCTTTGCTGCAGGCGAGCTCCTCATTTTTTAAAAAATTAGATCATTTTAAATTCCGCCTAAATTGGGTGGGGGTCTCATCAGCAGAGACCCCATGAACAGGGTGGTTGTGGAAAGCTCCTTCCCAGAGCCAAAACTCAGAAGCAGAAGCCCCAGATTGGAAGAGAGGTGGGGAAGAGGAAGCTGTGTGATGACTAAGACAGAGAGGCCTGAGGTGTGTGTTGCCGTCCCTCAAACACAACATGGAGGGAATTACACTCCTTCCTTTCAAACCACCCTGGATTGTTGGGAAGAATTTTCATCAGAGACCAGGTGGTTGAAGAGCAAACTCCCTCTTTGGCTGTCAGCATCTGCCATTTTGGAGATGATGAAACTTGACAGGCAGGACACCTGATTCAGTCACTGCTTCAGAGAGAAATGAGCCCTGGGACCAATTATACTGATGGTGGTCACGGCATGGAGAAAGTTATTCCAAGGGGTGTCTTGAGTGTGGCTGGAGAGGGAAACAGAGTATTTATTTTATTTATTTATTTGTTTAAATTTCTATACCGCCCTTCTCCAAATAGGACTCAGGGCGGTGCACAGCCTAAGTAAAAACAAAGCATACAAAATTTAAAAAACAGTATTAAAATAATTAAATATTCTGGCCGTAAATTAAAACAACCCAATTTAAAATCAATTTAAAATTTAGCTCAAGCCAGCCCAGCTAGTTGAAATAAATAAGTTTTCAGGGCCCGACGAAAAATCCGGAGGTCTGTTATTATACGTATCTTGACAATCGTGCAGCTCTGGCATTCTGCTCTCTGAAAAAAGGTAACTTGCCAGCACAAAAATGCCTACCCTGTCCTCTTTCACATTGGGAAAACACCCCCAAAATCTCTCTCAGTAACGTCAAAACTGCTGTTTTAATTTCTTTTGGTTGTTTCAAAGGTGGTCTGACAAAGCAATATGAGGTTACCTACAACTCTACGTCTGGAGTAACATCAGGTGTCTACGACATCCTCCTCATCGCTACTCCTTTGCAGCGCCAAATCGCCAACATAACTTTCCGCAACTTCGACCCACAGATCCCCGAGTTCTCTAGTCCCTACCACCAGACGGTGGCAACGTTTGTCCACGGGCACATCAATGCTTCTTTTTTTGGCTATCGGGATCCTTCTCGGTTCAACCTGCAGGCCATTTTCACGATGGAAGATCCCCATCTGTTCATCAGCAGCCTTGGGGTGGTTTCTCCGGTGAAGGACAAACACCTGGGCCCTCCTGTCTGGAAAGTGTTCTCCCATCAGCTGCTGACCGATGAGCAACTGAAGCTGCTTTTCTCATCCTATGACTTGGTGGAAGCACGGAAATGGTTGGCCTACCCACACTACAGCCCCCCTCAGAAGTGCCCACCTTTCGTTCTCCACGACCACCTGTATTACGTCAATGCCATAGAATGGGCAGCCAGCGCCATGGAGATGAGCGCAATCTCTGCCAAAAATGCGGCCCTCTTGGCTCACCATCATTGGTACAATAAGATGGATAGGATTGATCAAGAGGATTTGCATGAGAGACTCAAGACGGAGCTTTGACTTGGCATGACAAGGATTGGGGGGAGGCACCGAGGCATATAGGAAACTTGCGATGTATCTTGGGTGTTGGGTAGGGGTGCCCAAAATGTCTGAGCTTTGAAATGCTCCATTTGCAGCCCAAAATGTTAAGCTTCAAATATCTTTGCTTGGCAGCAACTAGGGCAGTTTTAAGCTCAGAACATTCCTACAAGGGCCAAAATATTTTTGGTGAGGTAAGAAAGGGTTTGAAAATGTTTCAAGCTTCTGTTTGCAACCATCACTCTTGATCCTACTTTGGTACTCCAAGGAAAGAGGCTTAAAGGGAATTCTTGGCAACAGTCTTTTAAAAACTACTGTACTTTCTGGACTTCTTTTGCAAATCACATGACTTGTTATAAGTAATTCTTTGGGGCACAAGAAAAACCTTGAATAAAGCCTTCAGGCATTTTACATAGCAGTGTTCCTTAAAACCACTGGATAAAGTTGTCAAGAGACTTCATGTACTTAGTTTTGCAGACAATGACTCCCAACAATTCATTACTTTTGATCGGAAGATATTTTTACATTTCTGGAAGCTATTAGTATGGGGAATGACGCAGAAGAAAATGAATATGCTTGATTTGAATCGCTGAATTGGGCTGTTCAAATAACTGAAGTGCTTCCCTTTAAAATTCATATTTTAAAAGCTTTTAGTATAGTTATGCAAATAAGGACTTGTAAGAGGAGAATTCAGCTGCTCCAGGCATTGAAATTATGAGGTATCAGTTCTGAATAAGCCCCTTCTTTTTTTGAAGGAGAAGGAAATTGGACATTCAGGATTGCTTTTGACAAACTTTCCACACACAAGTAGCAGACCAACCGAGCGTTGAGCCATTTGGTTGTGACAGGAATTGGTACTGGCTTGTTGCCTGAACCCCTTGCTGTGGGCAGAGGGACCAGCCCAAAGTCCCCCAGCCGGCTTTCGTGTCAGGACTGGAACTCACAGTCCCCTGGTTTCTGGCCTGATGCCTTCACCACTAGACCAAACTTCATATTAAAAAATATAGTGTGGGGGGGGGGAATAAAGTATTTATAAAACGGAGAGAAGGATTAATCAAAATTATCTTGTTATAACAATTATCTTATGCTTATTCAGGCACTCAGGAAAATTGTACTGGCAAGTGGGTTTTCTTTTACCTAAAAGCAGTGGGAAAAAACATACCTCCACTGCCAGGTGTGTGGTTCTGTGAACTGCTGATGCCATCCACTCGTAACTGTGTTAGGCAGAGAACTGGGTAGCAGCAATTTATAGGTAACAGATTAGGTATACTTTCTAACTTTATTAAAAGTGGGGGAAACACATTCTTGTGGTGCTGTTGTGCCTTTTTTACAAATGTGCGGCTAAGGATCTGCAATTGAGAATTCTTGAAAGATGTCACACCGATACAACCAGAGGGTTATATTATGGGAGGGCCAGATCCTCAGTTGTTGAGCAAAGTGGTCATTAAGCAAGACACCCAAGTGATCGCTTTGCTCAATGAACATAATCCTGGCTCTAATTAGCTGCAATCATTAAGTGATTATACAGGTTGTCAAGCGGACAGAGGAAGAGCTACCTGATAAAAGGGCAGGTAGCCCGCCCGCCCCTCCCCCGATGCATGGAAGGGAATTTGTATGCTGGGCTCCCAAAGAGCTGAGCTGTTCCTACAGCCTGCCACAAAAGTTCCATCTCTGTGCACAAGACAGAACGGTTTTGGTCGGCTGCAGAGATCGGACCTTCAGTGACCTCGTTTCCTTCGCAGGAGTGCCTCTCCCTTCCATGCACCAAGGGGAGGTCCTCTGCAGAAACAGAGTTCAGATCTTTGGGAGGCGACTCAAACCGAATGTTCTTCCAGCAGGCAGCCCTTTCGCTCCCAAAGAACTGCCTGCCGGGAGAGAACTGCCCTCCCTTTCCTGGCAGTGTGCAACTTTCCCAGCCAACTTCCCCACTGACTTTCTGAGGAAGCTGGCAGAGAAGACTGCAAGTGGCAATCACATGATTGTGGGGTGCTTGGTTACGATTGTGTGACCAGGTTGCCAACACCCAGATTGCAATCACGACTGGAGCAAAACATTTTATGACAGCCCCTTTTCAAGTTGTAATTTCAAAATGATGGTTTAACAAGTGGTCATAAGTCAAGAACTTCTCAAAAGCCATAAAGCGGGATCTTAAATGTACAGAATGCTGGCTTATCACCATTGCCAGCATAAGTTCATCTCTCATTCAACTTGTTTGGAATTGTTTTGTTCACTTGTTGAAGTATGTTCCAAGTATGTGGAACACTAATATTATCCTATCTCCGTTCCTGTACATGGGTATTATGTACAATTTTTCAAATTTCATATATTCCCGAATTAATTTTTCAAAGTTGTGAAGCAAATTATACCAATTTTTAAGAATTTATTTTTTTAAAAAATGTAAACATGGAATGCTCCTGTAGAACCAACAATAATAAAAATTGCCCACGCTGTAGTAAGAGCCAGTACTTCATTTTTTATACTCGTTCCAGGGCTTCTAGCATAATGATGCTGTTTCCTCGTATTACCTAGAAATTAGAACAAATAATTAGCATACCTAAGAATGAAGAAAAAAAGAATAGTTTCAAGATGGCTAAAGGCAGTTGATATGGAGAACTGTTCTACAACTGTAATCCAGAAAGATCCACGATGGATTGCTTAGTCTTTCATGGGAGTATTTTTGCTCCACTGGGATACCATTTGTTGAATGTTTCTGGTGTCCCCAATCTGAGAGTATTGACAAAGGTACTAGTTCTTAAGTGTCAAAAGTGCCTGAAGGAGAATTTGAAAGTTCTGACCTAAATCATAAAATGCAAATGATAATTGCTTCCTTACTGCTAGAATCAACACAAGTTGATTTATATTGCAACTCTATTTATTCAGTTCTTGAACATAAAAGAGTATATATTGTACTGTGCCATGACAGAATGCAACAGCTTAACATTCCCTTCCCTGGCAAAATAGTTTCAACAGTTCTTATAACTTAATTCATTTTTGCTTACCACCATCCCTATGTTGTTCTGTTGTCCACCAGGTGCCATTTCCACACACTCATCTATCACCAAATTCATGAACGGATCAAAACCTCTTAATATCCCTTGAACATGCCGACCTCCATTTAGTTTTACTGCAAAGAACAGACACAGCAAGTTACAACTAAAGTGAGAAATTAGCACATAAGGCTTCCAACAGTTTTTGTTAAATCACAATTCTTTTAAACCAAAGTTGTATTCAGTGAACAAATAAGCCCCAGGAGCCACGTTCACTATCTCCTTCACTGTTAAGAGTTACATGTATACTTACCACAAGCTAAAGGCAAGTATGAAACAACACTAGTAGCTGAATGTCATTTGCTATTTCGTACAGAGGTTCAACAGTAACTCATAAAACAGACCACATTCACTGAGACTGTGCAAATACTCGTGGACTTTTTCCTGCTGTTCATTCCCTCCTCTGGTGAACTGAAGCATCCATTCTAAGATGATCTCTTCAGCAGCATTAACAGAGTCAATACAAGTACTGTGTATTTCTGTAATTCTTTGCATACAATGCAACTCCTCCCCCTCTTTGAGTTGGGCTTGTTTCTTTTCAACAATTTATATCCTTCTAGTTGTGTATTCCAATAATGGGTTCCATCCCACTAGACACACCGAGCTCCTTCAGCCTTTCGTCATATGATTTAGCCTCCAGACTATCACCTTTGTTGTTCTCTGCATTTTTGCATTATGGTGACCAGAATTGGACACAGATACAGAGAAACACATATAGGGAGACTAAACCATTAATTATGTAAATCAATACAAAATTAATGAAACATTTAGCGCGTAAAAGACCAATATTTGGACAAGTACTGAAACAGATGCAACAAATAAAGAAAAGAAGTGAGCACATCGCAGGAAAATTATTTAGTTTGTATAGTTGTATAGTTTGTATAGTTTTTTCCTTGCAAAATGGAATCTTTAAAACAATCAGTTCACTTACATGATAGCTTCTTGTCCATAAATCTGAAAAATCAAAAGAGAGGAAATAAGCCTCATGCAAGTCAAGTTCATAATAAAGAAAAATTAACTGGTTTCATCTCAACAGAAGAAATGTGCAGTTTCACAGCCCTTAAAAAGATAATACACCTGCTAGCCTCACAAGGCTCTTATAGGGCGGCCGTTTAGTGTGAGGCTATGATTTTTCTCTCTCAACTTCATGTTGCTTTAACTCTGCAGTTGTAAGCCTCTCTCCATATTGGGCAGCAATATGGCAGCAACAAATCAAGAGGTTCACTGTCAACGGGAAAAGGCTGCATGCCCACTCATACCTACCCTAGTTTTCAACCCAATACCCCATTTTCTTAAACGTCTAAAAGGTATGTTTGCATGAATTATATTTATCAAGATTTATTGCATTAAAAATTAAAATTGATGGATTCAGTGCTGCTACCACTTCTCACAATTATTTGATAGGATTTTAATATTGTATTACATTTTAAAATAGACTGGCAAATAATTTTGATTTCTCAGTACCCCTCAGAGGGTCTTGAAGGGCACCAAGGAGTCCTAGGACCACCCTTTACGAAACCCTGCCTTAAGCAATCTTACAAAGCTGCTGTCCTTTCTCTTCATAACCTGGCCTTGTGTACGTCTTGTCCATTTCCTGTCTGAGGAATGGGAAATTCCAAAGTTTTGAGCCTAGGATGGTGCAAGAACAGTCAATGCGCAGAAAGGAACACTAGGAAGTTGCTCTCAGGAAAGACTGTCCCTTTCCAAGAACAGGAACAAATGTGCAGCTTCCTTTAAACTCAGGGCCCCGAAGAAGAGTTTTACCAATGGGCATGGGGATGGGTTGTTTTGTGGGATTACCTTGGCTGGGAGATTTATATATTTTATGTTGGACTGAATTATAGTCTTATCTATCAATCATATTTATACGATGTGTGTGTGTCTGGCCAGTGAATAATAAAAAAATCACAAAAAACTATCAAAAACATTCTGCAGTTAAAAACAACAATTAGGATTACTACTACTAGTAGAGAGAGTCTACACTTAGGGAAGAAAACCCAAATGCACTGGTACAAAATGAGCTCAGCAGCAGTAACTGTGGAGGGATCTTGCTGCCCTAGTGGGTAACCACTTAATATGGGCCGGCCATGTGCTGCAGCTGCCAAAAAAGTGAACGCAGTCCAGGGCTGCATCAACAGAGGGATGGCATCAAGATCACATGACGTGATCCTATCGCTTTATATTGCACTTAGTGAGGCCACGCTTGGAACCCTGAGACCACTTCTGGTTAGGATACTCAAAAGGTGTTGAGTCTCTGGAAAGAGTGCAGAGAACAGCAACGAAGATGATTGGGTGACAGTCACAGTGAAGAGGGGGCCAACCTATCCTACAAAGCACCTGAAGGCAGGACAAGGAGCAGTGGGTGGAAACTAATCAAGGAGAGAAGCAATTTGGAATTACGGAGAAACTTCCCGACAGTCAGGACAATTAACCAGCGGAACAGCTTGCCACCAGAGGTTGTGGGTGCTCCATCACTGGAGGCTTTCAAGAAGAGACTGGACAGCCACTTGTCAGCCACTTGAATGGGGTCTCCTGCTTGAACGGGGGGGGCTGGACTAGAAGACCTCCAAGGCCCCTTCCAAGTCGGTTGTGCTGAAGAATCAATCAGCCAGGGGAAGGAGCGTCTCTGGACGAACAGAGGTTTTAAAAGGCTGACGAAGAAAGCCGCCCACCGCCAGCCAAGATCGGCTTCTGCCGGAGGGGGACCCTGGCGAAGCCCATTTTCCGCCCCCTCCCAGGCCGAGAGGCTCGAGCGCTTGAGGGAGGGGCGGGGGCGAAGGGGGGCCTGCAGGCCCAGAAGGAATGGGCACGTGGGTCGAGGAAGGCCCCTCTAGGGAAGTGGCTCTATGGCCACACGCCGCGCAGTGCATGACGGGCCGAAGAGTGGCCTTAGGACGGGCTCCCGCCGCCCGCTAGGCCCTTCCGCTCGCTTCTCTGGCCGCCGCGCCACCGCCCCGCGGTGCCTCCGTGTGGAGCGCCCCGACGCTGCCACGCGGCCCGCACTCACTTCTTCAGCTCCGGCGGGTGCGCTTTGCTCATCCTGCCTCCTCCAAGACGACCGCCTCGCGAAGCGTCTGCCGGCCGTCTCTGCTCGCGGTGGCACGTCACCACGGCGCGCACTTAACCGCCCAATCACCAGGCGGCGCAGGCGCAGGCGCAACCCCAACGGCCGGCCGAGCCGACTAACGCGGAGTCCGCCCAAAGGCTCAGGAATGGCGGGGCCATCCGGTCGTATCGACCAATCACCGAGCGCACCGCCTTCTTTTTAAGCCGTGCGGTGGCGCCCGCGTCTCCCGCGCCACGTGCCTCTGCGGACCCCCCCCCCCCCCCCGGCTTTTCCTCACGCGCAGGGAGGCGGCTCCCTCGGAGACCGTCTCCCAGCAGGCAGGGCCGCGTTTCTTTCCCTCCTCTGGAAAGGGCCAGAAACGACCGCCAGTTACCCGGTGCTCTGGCGAGAACCAGAGAATCCAGGATGGGAAAGCCAAAGTAATGGGGCTGCTCTCCCATTAGTGGGAAAGGACGGACACCGGCTGGCTTCCCTCAGGCTAAACGAAGCTTTAAAAATGCATCAATTAAAGCAAGTCACTTACCTCCGTCCACAAACCCAAAATAAATTCTTGTCTACACAATAACAGACATAAGAAAAATGTTGAGGCAAAAGAAATGCACTGAAACACTTGGGACCCAATGGGGGGGTTGCCTGCCCCCCACCACCACCTTTGCTCTCTGTTCTTCACCCATCCATCCTTTTATATTGATGTATTTTTATTTTTTCATTGTTTAGTTCATATTTTTATTTTACATGTGGTATGTACACACCCAATCAGATTATGCTATATTCATTCAATTATTTGCTGTTCTAACCCTGCCTAACCATCAGTATATAAACAGCCCTTTAGGTTAGCCTTTGCTACCTCCAGTACCATATTAAACAATTAGTGCTTTAACAAAAAAAAAATGTATCTCAGACCTATTCAATACTCTATGAAAAAGTTTGAGCACTAGGCTGCGATCCATTAAGAAGTTGGAACATCTAGGCAACCCTGGCTGATCCCCGGAAAGGATCAGACCAGGCTAGTACCTGAATGGAGGTGGCTACAGAGCCCTGGTTGAAAAATATCCTGGAAGCCATGGCAAGCCACTTCCTGCCCTAACAGCTGTGCAAGGGTATGACTTGGAAGTCACTGGACACTTTATGAGGTTTCCCACCATCATCAGGGTTGAATTCATTTTATAGTAATCTAGAAATTGCTGAAATAATTAAGAATGCAGCCCATAGAAAATTCAGGCAACAATAGTTTAATCATTTAAAATGTATTTAATCACATCTTTAGAAAATAATTTATATTCAAAGATATGGAAAAAACGGGTGGCAATTTCTTCTTGAAATCAATATTGGGATCTTAAGCTGATTGCTGATCAATATTTTTCCAACTCATAAGTAATATTTTCTATTTTACTAACAAGCCAGAAGATTCCCAAGCAGCAACCTCAATATCCAAAGGTTCTGTGGATTATGGAGCCATTGTGGATTGGAGCAGTGCACAATTGTTCAACTCTAGGCAATCTGCACAATACTTAGACAGTTATAAGCAATGCAATGCTGACTCGGGGAATTAGCTTGAATTTCCAGAAATCACTGCAGATTGATTGGACCAGAGAAATAGGATTTGCATTAAATAAACATGTTCTTCTGCACAAACAGAACATTTATTTATTTATTTATTTATTAGTCCAATTTATATGCCACCCTTCTCCGTAGACTCAGGGCGGCTTACAATGCATTACAGCAATAGCCTGCATACTTTTTTGTATATACCTGCTTATTAGGGCTTTCGGCCCCCCCTAAGCGGTGTTGTTCTATACAAAGTTGGCTTATTGCCCCAACAATCCAGGTCCTCAATTTACCTACCTCGAAAGGATGGAAGGCTGAGTCAACCTTGAGCCTGGTGAGATTCAAACTTGCACTAGTTGCAGGCAGCTGGCAGCTAAGTGCTAGCACTTAACAGCACTTTAGTCTGCTGCACCACCAAGGCTCTTCCCCAGAGGCTCCTCAGTGTCTTCAGTGTCTTCTCCCAAATCCAGCCAAATATCTTTTCCATTCAGCCAGAGCTGAGCTACCATTTGACTCTACAGCCAGGAGCAAACAGCTAAACGCAAAGTAGTAACAGACAAGAGCTACAGTTATGGAATGCTGAGCCCTTAAAGGTGTGTGCCATGGCCATCCCTAGGTCAGCAAATGGACTTCGGTGAGAGAAATCGATCCGAAAAGGCTGCTCCCTGTGTTGGCTGGTATTCCAGCTCTATTTCCACACCTGACTTTCTTGCCCCTTCACAATCTATGGGACTATTCTAGGTCACAAGGCCTTAAGCATCATGACAATTCACTCCATTAAAAAGTGGAATAATCACTTTTGCCAATCACTCACCGGCATTTCCTTTCCTTTTATATATGCACTACCCCTAATTATTCTGCCCTCACATTCAGCAATGAAGAGAAGGAACCATTCTTTCCAGCTCACTTTTCCAAGTAAGAAACCCTGAGAGTAGCCAATAAGGTTACACGGCCAAATACAGAAATTCTCCATATCGAAATGAACACAGACCAAAAGCAAATAATGTGAAACGCTACCAGATTTTAAGAATTTAATAAACATTTGTTTGGGAGTGACTTAGAAGATCTCACATATTTTGACAGCTAAATTCACATTTTGATGTCGCATTTTTAAACCCCCTTATAATCTTCATTTCTGTCTCACTCGGCAAACTTAAGCAACACAGCTTCCCAGGTTCCGATGGCTCCTTTCCTGCTTGAATCCCTCATGAGTGGGTGGCAAAACATGCCAGCTGCCAGTGACAAAACCTCTGCTTAGATCTGGCCCAGACTTGGATATGCACACAAGTGCATTTCCCCCTACTCAGGACGTATTAAGGCACACACATCCATATCTGCTGCCTGGACAAAGAAAAGAAAAACCTGCCTGATTTGGATGAAAGCACAAATAGAAGCTCCCAGCAGCTTTGGAGAATTCAGGTGGTTTAATATTGTATCTTCTGTCACTCAATTACATCACAAGACCAAGAACAAACCATCTCCTTGAGCAGGATTGTAGGAATAGCCATTTTGTGTCTTTATACAGCACCAGAGGTATTAATTTTAAGGGGCCTAAGTGAATCTGCTCTGCTAAGACAATAGGTGAGCAAACTTTAGGGTTGACAACGAAGCACCTTCTCACCTCTCCTTCCCCATTTTCACCACAAGGATGAGGAGAGTGGGTCAAAACAAGGCAGGGAAATTCCCTGGTCTCATAAACATATCCATGAGCCAGGAAAAACCCAACCACCTGTTTCCCATTCTGATATTCCCACTTTTGTTTCCCAGTTTCATTGAGTTCATGGCACCCTTCCTAGCCGGACCTGGGTTTATGCGCAGGGGGAGGACTACTGAGCGATGCCGGCCAGGCTCTCCTTCATCTTCTTGGTCATGCTGGGGATGAGATGAACGTGGTCATCCACACACTTCATCACACAGTTCTCCAGCTGCAGCTTCACCTGCGATTCTTTGCTCCCTGAGTCCAAGGCGTCCTTGGCTTTGTCGTTGCAGTGCATTGTGCAGCGAGAGAGGCGGCTCTGTGGGGGGAGAACCAGAGAGGTGGGTCCAGAGGAGCACCGCCAGAAGGCTCCCTGCACATGCAACAGGAAGATCAGCTGATCCCGGATGCCTAAAAGGAGAAGCTTCCTTGGAATTCAGGGTCGGGGGACCTTTGGGGTGCGGCCCAAGCCTCCCCCCCCTCGAGGGGCGATGGTGCAAAGGATTCTGCCGCCACCCCTTAATTCAGCAGAGAAAGGCAAGCAAGTCAAGAGGGCAGCCGGGACAGCCCGGTCGACCCCTCTGACCGCAAACCCCCCACCCCCAGAGCTTGCAGCCCTTTAGCCACGGGGCCCAGAAGTCATGGGGGGCGCTGCATGGGAGGAAGGGCCGAGGAGGGGGAGGGAGACCGGATCCAAGGGCCGGACGGGATCCTGAGGAGAGCGGCGGCCAGAGAGAGAGAGGGGGGGGGGGAGAGACCCTCCGCCCGCGGCCTGCTCACCTGGAAGCGCTCCAGCTCCTGGGTGACCAGGGCCTGGGCCTGGGCCAGCGGCGCGTGGCAGCGCTCGATGCACTGGTGCACCTGCTGCATGGAGGCCCGCTGGTTCTCGCAGCACGTGGCGCTGCAGCGGAACATCAGGCCCTGCAAGGAGGAAGCGGCGCTCGGGTCAGGCCCCGCAAGGACCGAGGGGAGCGCCGCGGGGCCCCGGCCCGGCCCGGCCTCCTGCCCGGCTCCAGCGCCGGAGGGGCGGCCGCGTGGCTGGGCCGGCGGCCCGCTCTCCCCGGAAGAGCCGCGCCCGCCCAACGCCCAACGCCCGCCCGCCCGCCCGGCCGACCTGCATCTTGCGGATGTGCTCCCGCTCCAGGCCCTGCACCATGCCGTCGATGGCCTCCTGCACCCGCAGCTGCTGAGCCTCCGCCATGCCGGACGGGGAGCGCAGCGGACAGACCCCCCTCCCCTCCCCTCCTCCCCTCCCCACGGGCAGAGCCGGCGCTGCAGAGCAGGGAGGGGCCGCCCGCACGAGCCCCGCCCCGGATGCCCGCCCCGCCCCCTCCGCAGGAGCCAGGTGTGATGCTGGGGGGAGGAGGAGGGGGGGCGTCTGAACAGAAGCCGCAGAAGCTCCCCAGGCGTGGCTCCGGGGGTCCCCATCACCGCAAGCTTTTAAGAAGAGGCCGTTCAGCCCTTTGCCTGGACTGGTGCAGCGGAGGGGGTTGGACTAGAAGACCTCCGAGGTCCCTTCCAGCCCTTTGCCATTCGGATCAGCGGACTTTGATCTTGGGGGGGGGCGGGGCGGGCAGGGCTTCCCCTCATGTCAGGCGTCCGTAAGCGTACCATCCCTGTCCCAATGTCCCTTTTTATTCGTATCCATTTCATGTTTATACTTTTATCTGATATCATATATATGCTTGACAAATAAAATAAATAATAAATAAACAAATAAAACGTCACCCCCTAGTCCTCCTTTTCATTAAACTAGACTCTTCCAGTTCCTGCAACTGTTCTGTAGCTTTTAGCCTCCAGCCCCCTTAATAATCTTTGTTGCTCTTCTCCGCACTCTTAAGATTTTAGTGTCTTTTTTCCATTGTGATATAATCATGAATTAATCCTGATTGCATCACAGTATAATCATATCACATGATTACATCACAATTATTTCATGATTGTGTGATGTGATGTAATCATGAAGCAATCATGAGTCAAATCACACCAACAAAGAGCTCCCTCTCTTATTTGTGCAAGAGTTTAGCTACAGCTCGGCCTTTTTGTCCCTCCCTTTGTAGGCATTCCTGTTTTCCATCATGGTTTTATTTCTCCTTTGGCCTCGGATGGAGCCCCGGCGTTTCAGATTGCACTAGCTGGTTGATTATTGCCTAAGTGATCATTTTGAAATATCTAGGTTACTCCATTGAGTCAGAACATGTGTAATAAATAAAGAGCTACACAATGCATCACCGTTGTGTACCATTTGCTTACAAGTAAATCCTGCTCAGCAAACAATTTGGTGCTTTAAGGGAAGGCTGTCGGGAAGGAATGGCAATTGTAAAGCAAGCGCAATCTGGAAAGGCCTCTGTTTTGAAAGTTTCCTGTAAGTTTGTCCCCTTCCTTAGCCTCAGGCTGAAATCTGCAACTGGTTGACCTACCCAACCGGTCTGTTGTGAAGATTGCCTAAATCAAGCAGAAGTACTTTATAAACCTGAAGTAGATGCTAAGTATTATGAGCTGTCAAAGAACTTAAATTAACATGGAACCTAAACGGGAAGAGAGGTCTCTTTCTTGCAAGGCTAACGGTTGCTGCTGAAAAGACACATTATGTCTTCAAAGTGTCTCTTGCAGACATTAACTCATTTACAGTTCTTGCAAAAACTCCATCCTGTCCAAATACAATTTGGGGCAGCCAACAGTTCAGAATAGGTGGAAGAGTAGCCACAACTGAGCCAGTATGTGCAATGAGGGGTCAAGAGGCTCAGGAAACCCCAGACAGACAGAGCACACAACATCCTGGAAACCCGGGAAGGAAGCTGAGGCCACATCCCACTCTGGCCTGAGAGAGCCATTGATCGACTTTCTTTGAAAACCTTGGCCTGGTTGCCCAGTCACATTTACTTCTCCTGAATGAACAATGGCACCACTCAGGGCCGGAGGTTGGGCTCCAGTCCAGGCAAGAAGGCCAGCGCTGAAGTCAGCATCCTTGGGGTGGCAGCCAATGCGCCTCTCTCCACACAGCGGGGCACCGGGCTTATGGAAAGTGCCCAGGTGAAGCCTTTCTGGAGCTGCTACCTGCTGAAAATCTGAAACTCACTCCTGTGTTTCCTTCTTCTCTGGTCTAAGTAGAATCAGGGTTCTTTGGAGCCTTTTCGCAGCCTAAATAAGTACAAGTTCTGAAAAATATTGACAATCGTCTCCAAGCTTCTGAAAATAGATCACAGTGAGTTACGGCTTGATGGAACTACTCTCCATGTCAAGAAAAGAAATGTGTTTCATTGTTTTATCTGTCTCCATGGTGTGATCTCTCCAAAGGCTGAGCAAGAAATTCTGAAAAGTAGATGCTAAAAGAGATCACTGCTGTTGTTTCCAGCTGACTGGAAAAGGACAATGGGGGTGGAAAAAAAAAAGAAATGAAGACATAGGGGAGGAAAGATAAAATAACAGAAAGAAGGCCACGAAGAAACAATGTTTAAAAGAGATAAGATATGTATATGTTGTATGTTATGTGAATGTCATATATGTTATAATACAATTACAAATTAAAAAAAGGGGATTCCAGCAGGGGGAGCCACAGACAAAGTTTTGTCCCGGAAATAAAGATTTGGTCCTTTCAAGTGTGCTGCAATGTTTTGGTTTTACTTTCCAAGTTTCCTCGGTTTCTTTGCCAGCAAGTCCTTTGTCCAGCTTCTTCCGAGGTCCTTGACCAGCGCTTGATCAGAGCTTCAGAGTTTTATTTCCAATTGAATGAATGATGGGAGCCAAAACACCTGGGCTATTTTCATGCAAAACAGAAAAGCCTGCAAGCTGTGAGCCCATCTCTTGTCCCCAGCCAGTTACCTTCAGGTAAAGTCACGAAGCCAACTGACCTCCCCCAGGATCTGTCCCAAAGGAGGGACTCAGAAGGAGACTGCAGAGAGGTCTACAGAGCACCGTCAGGAAGGCCACGATGGAAACTGAAGCTCTGCTCCTTTTTTATGTCGTAATGTGCACTTTCAGTCACACCATCACAGCCGCTATTTTGATTTTTCTGAACATAGCAGGTGGATGTGCCTGTAAGACGCTCCTAATGGCAGGATCGCTCTGCTTGAAACTCAGGAAGGCCAGCTGAGATGCTCCTTGGAAGTTCAGATTAGATATAAAGTCATTGTCGACTGCCATGTCTAAAATCCACAGGGAGGGTAAAAAAAAGGCAAGATGGTGGCTGCAACTACACTACCCCTCCCCTTTTTACATGCAATATACGAAGTCTGGAACTGAAGGCAGCTTCGAAGCTCTGTTAGGTCCGAAGGCTGCCCTGTTGGGAGCCTCCATAAAATCCAAGCCTCTGGGAAAGCCAGGGCTGATCTTTTGCCGTGACTGAAATCATCTTGTCACAATCATTTCAGGAGGCGGCAGGGGCAGGGCCACCCATGGGGGGGGAGGGGGGGCTTCCCAAGGAAGAAAGAAGCTTCTGGATGAGGGACGTGGGTGGCTGCAGGGCCGGAGCCACTCAAGGCTCAGCAAAAAGCCTCTGTGTGTTCCATTATCCGAGCGGGCCTGAATCTCTATTCCAAGGAGACCAAAATGTCTCTACCTCTTGAGTGCTTTATCCAGCACTTCTGGATTTCTGGATTTCTGCTGCTGCTGCATAATTTTTCTCTCCCACCCCACCCTACACTCCAGAATCTGGGGGGAAACACAGACCACCTTTATGTTCTGAGAGAAGAAACGCTGCTCCAGAGTAGCCCTTCTGTGATCCTGCCAGGCCCCTCATCCCTTCTGTTGCCCACAAGGAAGGGCAAGAAGCCTCTTCGCAAAGAAACAGTACGACAACCGATTCCCTGCAGAGAGCTCGCCCCACTCCATCCCAAGAGGTGGGTAGGAAGATCCCCTCTGCGAGGAAGGTCTGCAGTCATAAATGACAGCAGTGAATGGAGGAAGAAAATAGCTCGGAAACATAAGGGAGAAGAGGCCACCAGAGTAACAGCCGAATCCCAGTGGCCGAATAGCTGCCCTGGCCCCTCATCCAAAGAAGGAGGGCTGACCCTCGGGGGCCCAGCTCTGGTTACTCGCAGTCTTCTCTGTGGGCCTCCGCGAGTCTTTAGACGGTGCTCTAAAATTAAGGGCCATGAAGTCATTGCAAGAGCATCCCACAGATTCCCACAGGGCATCCGTGTGCGAGAGTTTGGCTAGCTGCCAGGCCTTATATGGCTGGGTGTTGGGACTCAGCCTGGAGGGAGTGGGCTGGGAGGGGCTCTGGGGCTCTCGGAAATGTGGCTCTGGGACCACCGCCACTTATAATACCTTGTGGATGCATTGCATATTCGGTAGCTGTTTCGCTGACTTATGGCCGTTTCATTCATGACCATCCCCATGGCCATATGACCAAAATCAGGTGCTCGCCAGTTACACTGAGTGCAGCGTTCTGGGAAATGTGATCAGCATTTGTGACTTCCCAGTTCTGACAAGCAAAATCCACAGAGGAAGCCAGACTTACTTAACAACCACACGGGTCACTTAACCATTGTGGCAAAACCATTTTGTTGTGAAATCAGGTACTACTCACTTAAGAACTGCATTGCTTAGCGATGGATGTTTCATTCCCAATTCTGTTTGTAAGCCAAGGGCTACCTATATTAATCGGGGATCACTGTATGTCCAAAACTTTATCCCGGGGGAGGGTGTACTTTAAAGGAAACTGATGTTGGAAATACCATGACACTTAATGATGTAGGAGACATCTTGGCTGAGACCAAGGGCTCATCTATTCCACCATTTTATTCCCAAAATGGCCAACCAGATGTCCATTGTGAAGTCAGTCAGCAGCAGCAGCCAAGACCTCTCCGGATACCCTGCTAGCAATTGGCTTGGGATTCATACAGCTTCTCATCCTAGCAGCCACTGAGAGAATCCACAGGCATTGAGGCCAGTTGGCTGCTTGAAACAACAATCCCGCCTCCTCTGCGGGGCAATGTTCAGTTTGTGAGTGTAATCCAGCCTGTGTGTCCTGTCCACAACATAGCTATAAAATCATGAGAATGTTGATACCTCCTGCAATCTGGAAATCCATGTGCTCCCCAATGGTGAAGCAATTGTGGATAAGAACAAAATGGTAATTTGGTGGCCAGATCATTTGTGATTTTTGGATGGCTTATAGCTGTCAGCCCACTACAGTTGCCCAAGTGGGTGAAGCTGATATCATAGATTGTATCATGGCACAAGGCTTTGGAATCAGGGCCCACTTTACCTAACGCAAGATGCTTATGCCATCCTCGTATTTCTTAATGAGTAAGGAAT